GCACGTCCCAGCACAGGGCCTGGAACGGCTGTGCCCTAGTCTAGGGCTACCCCAAGTCCTCAGACCCTGTGTTGCCTGGTGTCAGTTAGAAAAAGTCACCCCTCCTCAGGTCATTGCCATGTGCCAAAGGTTTTGGTACCAAACGTGTAACTCTATGATGTGAATATGTCACTCCCTTGAAAGTCGTGCTGAGCACAACCCGTCCACCTGTACTGGGCAGGCCCTGGGCCCTAGGCTAGTGTTACCATTACTGTTGCTTTCCTGGCTCCCTGCCTCTGCTGAGGCTGTGCCTGCCACCAGGATGTCCTTTCCTTTCTTTCCCTCTGAAATCCCAGCCCCCGGAGACCCGCAGTGTCTCCCACTCCCACAGCCTGCTCAGATGCTATAGACGTGAATAAAAGCCAGGGCCTGCAGTCTTTGTCTGACGCTGGACCATGTTGCTGGGACCTAGGTCACCGCCCCCCTCCACCTCTGCCCCATATTCTGTCCACCCATGTATCCGGCAGCTTCCAGTTCTTGCCCTGCAGTTCCGTTGCCGGGAAAGCCGGGCAGGGCCACAGCAGGGCTGAGACGTGAGAGCAGTCCCCTTGGGACACCCCACTAATTATCTCCCACCCTTTGCTTAGCCCTTCCAGGACCCAAAATTTTATCATCGTGTCCTTGCAGTGGTAAGATGCTGCTAGTGTCTCTGGTTTACAGAGAGGAACACAGAGGCTTACAGGGACGAAACGCTTTATCTGGCCTCACGTTGAGAGGTGGGATTTCAACCCAGAACTCTGTGCCCAAGAGCTCATGTCTCAGTGCCTTCCTCCCCCTGCACTCACTTTAATCAAACATCTGCTCAGGCCAGGCCCGCCGCACCTCAGAGAGGCCTCCGGTCCTGTGCACCTGCCTCTCGTCGCTCAGTCACTCAGCAGATACTTATTTAATAAGCACCTACGATGTGTTGGTGAACACAGAGACCCTTGGGGACTTCCTTCCTCCTCCCTCCTTACATAGGGCTCCATCCTTCCCAGCCGCCCTGAGAGTCAGCCCAGACTAAGCCAATGGGTTTCCTTTGTCCCCGAACCTGTGACATTGGCCAGGAAGCCATGGTGTGCCTGGCCTCACGGTCTTCTGAGCAATTTTCGTCATTCCCTTTGTTCTGTGGTCCCTGGCTTCCCCTGCCTTGAAATGGACTTAGTGGACCTGTGATGTCTGCCACCTCCCTTTGTGAAAGTCATTCGGCACATGCATCCATCCACTAGCAAAACCATGACACAGGAAAGCGACTCAGAAGGCTGAGGTGAAGGACGACAGGGAGGCCACCAGGCTCAGGCAGCACAGAGCCTGAGCAGCTGGTAACTGGGTCTATCCAGGTTCCCAGGGCAGTGTCTGATTGGCCAGCCTGAGTCAGTTGACCTCCTGGCCAGGGAAAGGAGGGACATTTTGATTAAAATTAACACTGCGTTCCTTGTCCCCCGTCTCCCCTGTCTCCCCCGCTCCTCCGGGGAGAAATGGAGACAGTCCAACAGCCAAGCTGGAAGACCTCCCCTCCCCTGCCCTGCCAGCCTGCCTCCCAAAAGACCCCAGAGGGACGCACAGGCCATCCCTGAGAACCTCCAGGACAGAGGCCTGTGATGCTGGACAGATGCCCCAGGTACCCTGATGTGCCCTGTATAAGAACCAGCAGGGACACTCAGGGAACTCCAGGTATCCTGGGGAGGCTTTCTGGATCCAGTCCCACCCTCCTTGCCTTACCTTGGGGAAGAGCTATCACCCCATGCCTCAGTTTCCCCATTTATGAAGGGGGGTGCCGCAGTGCCTACTTCCCTCCCAGTGTGGCAGTGAAAAGAGGATGGATTCCAATTTCAGCCTGATTTTGGCCAAGCCATCTGAACAGCACCCACTCTGCTACACTGTCCCTCAACCTGAGGACCAGGAGATAGCACGGCAGAGAAAGAAGCAGCCCCAGGCCACCTCCACCTGCCACCAGCTGTCTGTCAGGCTTTGGGGACATCACCAGACCCTCAACTTCCCATTTGTACCCTGGGTAGAGGAGATGAGGGACAAATTGAGCCAGCTGGTCTTTCCCCAGGTGACCGTGTACCCTGGAACCTCTGGGTCCCAGAGTGAAGCTGGCTCAAAGGAAGATGACTAGATTCTGGGCCTCCCAGGGTCTGGTTCCAGGGTCTGGCCACACGCTGTCCCCAGACTGCCCAGAATCTGGACACCCCACCTGAGCTCCAGTGTGTTGCCTACTTTAGTATGACAGGGGCCAACACTTAGCAAGCTCTGTTCCATGCCTGGCCCTATGTTGTTCCCTGCACACCTTCCCTCTCCTAGGCCTTGTATCTGCCCTACACGCAGGGCCTTCTTTACAGACAGGGAAACAGAAGTTCCAAGTGACCTGTCGAGAGGCCACACGGCCAACTGGACCTGATACTTAAGTCACACTGCCTCTCCCTCGGTGTCTTTGCCAATCTCCCCGCAGTTCCACATGGGAAGTGAGCACAGTTTTATTGTTCCCACTTTACAAATGGGGAAACTGAGGCTCAAGCCTCACAGGACCTGGACCCAGAGCTGAGCCTCAGATTCTGTGAGTTAGCAGCTATGTTCTATGCTGGACCAGCAAACAAAGGCAAAAAGGCTGAGCCTCGCAACCCATTTAAGCTGTGTTAAGCGTCTGTCACCCATGGGTGGCCCTCCCTGGGGACCACCTGAGGCCAGCCTCCCAGGAGAGGGCACACAAGCCAGCCACGAACGACCCACAGGACTCTAGCAGAGCAAAGCGTGGACACCTGATCCCTTCGGAGGAAGGCAGGGGAAAAGTATCCCTTCCCACCCGAGTGTGGTCATTTGGCCTGGCCAATTGGACCCCTGGGCTGGGAGCTGGAACTTTCCACCACCTTTCTTGGACCGGGGCGAGCCATCTGAGGCCCACTCAGCCCTGCACCCTCGTGTGTTTTCCTAACATCCGTGACCCCTGTGGGGGCCGTTGCCTTTTTTTTTTTTTTCTTCCTCCCTCAAAAACCAGGACACAATAGGAAGCGATTCCTTGAACTTATTAAAAAATCCAGACTTGTAAATTAATTTGTTCGTGTTGTACAAAGGCAGTGCAGATGGACTCATTAGCATGCACACAACAAATAATTATAGATGAATTTTTAGCTGGCCTGCCTAATGTGCTTGCTGGGTTAATTATGTCAATGTATAATTACATCAGCCCGGGGAGACATAATGGCATATTCCTGCTGAGCAGGCCAGCCTAATGGCGGGGTGTGCATGGGCGGGGGGAGAGCGGGGAGACTGCTGACGGAGGAAAGCTGAGCTGCGTCCTCGCACCTGCTCACCTCCGCACACACGCCCACTGTCCAGCCTCCCGCCACCTAAACAAACAGGCTGCAGCAGAATAAAATGAGAGGCCACCTTGTTCCAGCCTGACCTGAAGGCCACCATGTGCAGACACTGCCCTGTGTCTTCTGCCAGCAAAAATGTATTGGGTTAGACCTTGTGTCAGGCTTCATTCGAGGTACAAACTGTGGTGGGAGGGGTGCTAACAGGTGCAATCTCGGCCCTCCTTTGTGGGGTTGGTTTCCTGTGTTAATTATGCAGACTTAGAGACGTAAGTTGTGGCTGTAGTGGGTGCTATGAATTGGAGGGGGACGGGGTGTGCAGGCAACTGGGAGAGTTCATGTCAGAGGGGACAGGCTAGTCAAGGAGAGCTTCCTGAAAAAGGTGGCATTTGAGTTGCAGTATGGAAGGTAAGTCTTGGCTAACTGATAGGACGGGGATAGGGGAGTGTGTTCCTGACAGAGGCTCATGTGCAAAGGCTTGAGGTGGAATGGTATGGCCAAGGGACCATGAAGAAAGCCATTGTGACTGCAGCTCAGGAGATAAGGGTTTCCATTCGCTCTGAGTTGACTAGGTCTCAGTGCCACGCTGAGCACTTTATGTGGATCCTCATCACAGCCCCAGGGAGGTTGCCACTTTTATGGCAAGGCACAGAGAGGTAGAGTCTTTTGGCAAAGTCACACAGCAATCTCAAGAAGCAAATGTGGATTAGACCAGGGTCCAGGCACATCTGGCTCCAGAGTCCACCCTCTTCATCCTCTGCTTGGAACCACTCGTATGCTGGGCTTTGTGGGTTGAAAGGGCCCCTGACACCAGGGTTTGTCAGCACCCACCCTGAGTGGGAGCTGGGGACATCCTGGAGGAAGTGACTAGGAAGGAAGTGGAAGAGCTCGAGCAGTAGACGGCGGAGAGGGAACTGCATGTTCCATTGGGAAGTCAGGAGATATCTCCATCCATTGTGGACTTGCTCCCAGAAAAGCAACTCCTCAATCCACAACAGAAATGACAAATGACAGCACAGCCCTCAGGTGCACTGAGAGGTCGCTGGCAAGGGTTGTGTGCAAAGATGTTACTGGGAAAACAGAGAGGAAGGAGGCAGGGAGGCCTGCTGGCCCTGTGGCAGGCTTGACTACAAGAAGCAGAGAAGTAGGAGGCTCCACGGGGCCATAGGGAGCCCTCGGGCAAGGTTGGCCTGCAGAGAGGTCCTGCCTCAGTCTCTCTGTGGCATGAAGATGTTGTCTGGGAGGTGTGTGGAGAACTGGCCTCGGGATGGGTTTCAGAGCATAGCTACAGGGTCCTTGGGAAGTGACCGCTGTGGTTGGAGGCCTGTGAGGCACAGCCCCATGGCCACCACAGATGGTGTCTTCCAATCCAAAAGTGCCATAACTGTGACAATTATTATTACTGTCATTCCCAGCTGAGCAGAACACCCACAGGGAAGGCACGTGCACCCCAACAGGAGCCTGGGGAAGGCTACTGTCATGGAAAGCAAAAGTCCACACTTTTCCCTTGCCCTGTCAGAGTGACTCCTGGTGGCTTTTGTGGATGTCCTCATCTCCCCATAGAAGGTCCTACTAAGCCCCAACACCTCTCCTGGACATCACCAGTGCCCAGGCTGTCCCTCCCCTTCCTCCTCTCTCCATCTCTCTCTCTCTCTGTCTCTGCAGACCCCGTGCCCGCATTTGAGGTGGCACGCAGCCTAGACGACAGACTGCAGCCCCCCAGCTTCGAGCCCAGCGGGCAGCCCCGGCGAGACCTCCACACTTCCTGGAAGAGGCATCCTGAACTCCTCAGCCCCAGAGGTACTGATCAGCCAGGTGTCTGTGACAAACTCCCTAGTGGTAGAGGGCCAGTGGCCAAACTGGATTCCCTTGGTGGCTGTGGACAGAGAGCTGGATGTTATCATCATAAGTGACACACCAGTGACAGAAACACTGCTGAAATCAATGAGCCCAAATCTTAGGATCAGATCTACCACAGGGGGAAAGGGAACAGACTATCACAGGGACTGCTCCATGCTGTCACTTAGGGACCCAGGCATCAGAGGGCCTGCCATCTTCTACATGTGACATCCAGTCCCAGAGAATGATGACATCCCACCACAGGCAGAGAAAGAATGCAGTGGTCACATGAGGTGTGCAGGGTGAGAGCCTGGGTGCCTGGATTCCTCCCACCCGTATCTCATTGGCCACAGCCAGCGCAAAGGATACTGGGAGATGTAGTCCAACCATGTGTCCAGGTGGAGAGGGGCAGACACCCATTAGGTGATGAGTTGAAGCCTCATTAAGACTGGCAACACCCCACTTTCCTTTCTGCCTCTCAGTTTCTAGACCAGAGCTCCCGGGGTCTAAGCGAGAGAGATGTGATTGTGCCATTGACCCCTGAAGTCTAGTTCTCTTGAAAACTAGACAGAAGCTGGCGTGGTGGCCACACTGTGATCCCAGCACTCAGGAGGCTGAGGCAGGAGGATTGTGAGTTTGAGGCCAGCCTGGGCTACGTAGTGAGACCCTGCCTCAAAAAAAGAATAGAAACAACAAGAAAGTGGGATTCAGTAACCAGGATGGAAGTTAAGCAGGAATCTCTCAGTCAAGGTGAAGAGCCAGGAATTTGGAATTCTTTGGGTCACCCGGGGGGCCCTGGGCAGGGACTCTGCAGATGTCATTCTGGAGCCAGGCTGAGCGCCAGGCTCTCAGCGCTCCACCCTACCTCCCACTTTCCTGCAGGCTGAGCCCCAGCCTGGTCCTCACCACTCCCCAGCCTGCCCACCCAGGCCTCCCAGGTGCTCCCCAGAGAGCACAGCTCAGGCTCCCAGCTTCGGTGGCCAGCCCTGACACCTCCCCACCATGATGAATGTGTGGGACACATGGGTCACTAGGATGACCACCCTGGGCCCACGGAGGACAATTCGATGTGGGCCCTGAAGGTGAGGGACTAAAGAGTGAGAGTCCAAGTGTGTGCCCTCAGCGGTGGAAAGGAACACAGCCTGGGGTTCCTCAGTAAGTTAGACGTGGACTTAACCACATCTTAACCCAGCAGTTCCACTCCAGTTCCATTCTCCAAAGAATCAAAAAAAAGAGATGTTCAAACAAAAATGTGTACACAGATGCACACCCATCCAGAGACCCAAAAGTAGATCAACAAATGCATAAACAGAATGTGGTATATCTCTGTGGTAGAATATTACTTGGCCATCCAAAGGAATTGTGTCTATATGTTTTATGTTACTACAACAAATTACCAAAGGCTGGGAACATTATAAAGAAAAGAGATTTATTTGGGCTCTGTTCTGGTCCAAGGCTGAGGGGCCCCATGTGTTGATGGCTTTCTTAGCAAAGCACCTGTTTTGCAAGCATCAAAGCTCTGAGTTCAAACTCCAGTCCCACCAAAAAAAAAAAAAAAAAAAAGGTCCTACCTCTAGTCACCATAGACAGGTGAGGGTTCTCCATTTCCCCATCATACCTCACACAGGAACCCCTGGGGACACACCACAGCAGGGATGGGACACTGACACAGCTACACCATGGACAAGTCTAGAAAACATGATGCTGAGTGAAAGACCAATGCATCTGATTCTGTCCATAGGAGGTGTCCAGACAGACAGACAGCAGCTACCAGGGGCTGGGGGAAGAATGAAGAGTCGTTCAAGGAGTGTGGGGCTTTCTTGGGGTGACAAGAATGTTCTAGAACCAGCAATGATGATTGCACAGAATTTGAATGTACTAAATGTCACCTTAAAATGGTGAACTTCGCCGGGCACTGGTGGCACACACCTGTAATCCTAGGTACTCGGGAGACAGAGATCAGGAGGATCACAGTTCAAGGCCAGTCCTGGGCAAATAACTTGAACAGACCTTATCTCAAAAAACCCATCACAGGGTGGGCACTGGTGACTTACGCCTGTAATCCTAGCTACTTGGGAGACAGAGATCAGGAGGATCGAAGTTCAAAGACAGCAGAGGCAAATAGTTTACGAGACCCCGTCTCGAAAAAACCCATCACGAAAAATTGGTGGTGGAGAGGTTCAAGGCACAGAGCACCTGGCTCGCAAGCATGAAGCCCTGAGTTTAAACCCCAGTGCTGCCAAAAAAACCCAAACAACAAAGTGAATTTTGTGCTACGTATATCTCGTACAATTTTTACGATAACGAAGGCAAGATGGACCTGCGTGCGTGCCTGGGGACAGCCGGTTCCAGCAGCACTGTCCAGCACCCAGCACGGGAAGTGGATTGTGACAGTCCCACAGACTGTGCAACACCAGGGTGTCGCTTGCTCCCCGGGCCATGGCTGTGTCTCCCTCTCTTCCCGCAGAGCAGAAAGACGGGACGCTGACCGAAGGCAGCCGCCTCCCCGGGAAAGCCCTCCTGACAGACGCCTTGCTGCAGAGGAATGAGGCCGAGAAACAGAAGTGAGGAGGGCCGGGGAGGGGCCTGCCCACCTGACTGGGGGACAAGGGGAAGCCCCTCAGGCCATGCAAGGGCTCAGCAGCCAGGCTGGGGAGCCCATGCCACCCTTCCCTGCCTCAGTTTCCCTACCTGGAAAATGGAGCTAGTGTTGGTTCATTGATCAGTTGGTACAGTGATCAGTTTCTTCAGAGAAACTGGGTTTTGTTTATTCTTGTTTTCACAAAGATGTGTATTTTGAGGACTTTGCTCAGTGGTCACGGGGCTGGCCAGCAAGAAGCCATTAGAGCAGGCTGGGGCATGTCTGTCAGCAAGAGTAGCTACCACAGTCCAAGGATAGTTTCTTTCTTCAGTTTGCTACTGAGACCTTCAACTAGCCAGGTATGGTGGGGCATGCCTGTAATCCCAGCATTAGGGAAGTGGAGGCAGGAGAATCACAAGCTCAAGCCCAGTGTGGGCTACATAGTGAGACCCTGTCTCCAAAAAAAACTTCAACTGATTGGATGAGGCCCACGCACATTATCAAAGCTGTCCTCCAGCTGTGACATCAGTCTCGTCTGTGGACACTCTAAAGTAGCAGGTGGTTGAACAACTCAGGAACTGCCCTTGCTAGGTGGACATGTAACACTGACTGTCACGGTGGTGTCCACTCGTGGTGAGCTGTGGAAATGCGACGAGACACGCCCATCAGCGTGTAGACCGCCCCTTTACAATGGGGTGGTGGGAGTGGCTTTGGGGCTGGGCGTTTCCAGGACACGTTGGTGGTGACCACTACACTCACTCACTCACTCGTTCCTCCGTTATTCTGCATGTGTGTGGACCACGGCGTGTGGTCAGCGGGTGCTGGGCTGACAAACTCCGGTTGAAAAACAAAGTAGGGAGCTGGGACTGGGGCTCCAGTATGAAGCCCTGTGCTCCATCCCCAGCACTGCAAAAATAAAATCAAGGGGAGGAGGAAGGAGATGGGGGGTGCTACGGTCCCAGGCAGGTTTTCAGGGTGGCCTCCCTGAGGAAGTGAGGGAATGAACCCTGCAGCTCCAGGCAGGAAGGGTGTGACCGGCAACTGGAACAGCCAGTGCAAAGGTCCTGAGGTAGGAACTGCCTGGTGATTTTGAGGTCAGTGGCTGGACTGGAGTAAGCCAGAGAGGGGCAGAGATGAAGCCAGAATGAAAGGGGCTCCTTCCTTGTAGCCATGGAGTGGTGAGGCTCCACCTCTTGCTGCTGTGCTCGAGTCCCTCTTTCTCTGCTAAGAAGCCTGGCCTGATGGGCTGACTGAGCATACAGACTCCTGCCACAAATGGGACAGTGCCTCCCTGGGACATTGAGAGACTGGCACCCCAGGCACCACACCAAGCCTGCTTCTTGACCCTCATTGAGATGGAGCCTATCAGAAACCGCATTTTACAGATGAGGAAACTGAGGCCCAGAGATACAAAAGCCACTTGATACTATTGTATAAAATGCTTCCAGAGGACTGGAGATGTGGCTCAAGCAGTAGAGTACCTACTTTGCAAGGCGTGAAGGCCTGAGTTCAAGTCCCAGTCCCACAAAAAAAAGAAAGAGATGCTGACAGAAATGAACAGGCCCCCACCATGGGGCCGCACAGTCAGCAGGATGGCTGAGTGCAAAGACAGCCGTTATAGGGGTGGGAATCCGCGAGGGCCTGCACGAGCGTCCCGTCTCTCCCCAGGGGCCTTCAAGAGGTACAAATCACCTTGGCGGCCAGACTGGGGGAGGCCGAGGAGAAGATCAAGGTGCTGCATTCAGGTGCGTCCCAGTGCCCAGGTGGCCACAGCAGGGACCAGGGAGAGGCCATGCCGTTGTGAGCGCAGAGCCCCAATGGCCCTGCTGGGCTCAGGGTTCTAGAATTGGGGTCATTCGGAAAGGGAAGGGACAGTGACACGCCTGGTGGGCCCTGAGGAGGGAATGCTTGGGACAGGATTAAATGGGGGACATGCAGTGCCCACAGGCCAGGCACGTACCGAGGGACCCAGGAGGGAGGACAGTGGAGAGGGACAAAGTCCCTGGCAGAACCAGGCCTCACCAGCGAGGTGAACACTACCAGCACCACCTGGTGCCCCAGTGTGGCCTGTCCCCATTTCCCTAGAGCAGTGGAACGCTGGGCTTTCACAGGATCCCGCATTCACTGCCACTACAGCCTGTTGGCTTTGCGCTCTTCTCTGTTCCCCAGGACCTTGGGGCCCAGAATGACGAGGCACAGACACCACGGCTGTCCTCTGAGCTATCCTAGGCTACAAGAGGGGCCTCTCCTGCCCCACCCCCTGTGTCCCTCCAGGGCAGCAGGCTCACTGCCCGTCTCTAGTTCCAAGACACCCCACCGCTCTGCCCCTGGCCCACAGGACGGAGCGGGTCCCCTCCCCTCAGGATGGGGACCTCACTCCACCTTGGTACTGCTCCCCAGCTCTAAAGGCCACGCAGACAGAGCTGCTAGAACTGCGACGGAAGTATGATGAGGAGGCTGCGTCCAAGTAAGTGAGAGCCCTGCGGGGTGGGCCTCCTCCCCTGACCCTCCACGGCCTCCTCCCCTGACCCTCCACAGCCTCCTCCCTCTGAGCCTCCATGGCCTCCTCCCTCTGAGCCTCCACACGGCCTCCTCCCCTGACCCTCCACACGGCCTCCTCCCTCTGAGCCTCCACGGCCTCCAACCCTGACCCTCCATGGCCTCCTGCCCTGACCCTCCACAGCCTCCTCCCTCTGAGCCTCCATGGCCTCCTCCCTCTGAGCCTCCACACGGCCTCCTCCCCTGACCCTCCACGGCCTCCTCCCCTGACCCTCCACATGGCCTCCTCCTCTGACACCCCACATGGCCTCCTCCTCTGACCCCCCACGGCCTCCTCCCTCTGAGCCTCCACACGGCCTCCTCCCACTGAGCCTCCACACGGCCTCCTCCCACTGACCCTCAGACAGCCTCCTCTTTCTGACCTTCCTTTGACCCCCCACCACCCCCCCTCATCACACAGCTCTTCTCCTCTCCCACAGGCTCCCAGCCACCCTCTCACACACCACAGCCATAAGGAACACCCCAGGACCTGGCCAAGTGCGTCTGCTGGGCACGGGCCGCCCCCCCATACCCCATGGAGCTGCCCCCACTACTCAGCTCACAGTCTTCAGGGGCCAAGTGACATCATCTAAGCTCATTCTGTGAACATTTATTTAGCTCCTACTGTTTATCTGGAGCTGTGCTGTGTCTGAGGAAACGCAGAACCTAACCTGGTCCTTAGAGGCAGACAGTAACTGAGACAGTGACAGGTCCATTCACAGACACTCGTGAGCACTTACTGTGTGCCAGCACTGCTCTTAGTACATGGCAAATGTCCCCAAAGAGAGAGCAGAGAGCAGTGGCTCCTCCGACACAGGTGGTCAGGGAGGATTCCTAGGAGGTGGCTTCAGGTCAGAAGGGGACGGCTGTGTGAGGCAGAGGCCCTTCCTGAGTCCCTGGGCACTGGTGGTCTAGAGGGGTGGGCACCACAGTAGACAGGTGGCCCCCTGGGTGGGAGAAGCAGGCCTCCCCCTCCCAGGGGTAACTGGAACTGACCCCGGCCATTCTTTTGGGGAAGGGCTCTCCAGGCAGAAGGCACAGTAGGGGCAAAGCCTGGCCCCATGGCTCTGCGGAGTGGAGCACTGGGAAGACTGAAGGCCGGACGGCCTGGCAGATGTCGTGCTGAGGCCCTGGTCCTGTTTCCCCGCAGCCTGGTTTCTTTCCTTCCCAGCCTGGTTTCTCTCCAGTAGGAAGTGTGGAAGGCAGCCTCCTCGGCCCCCAACTACAAGACTCAGGTTCAGGCGGAGGGAGTCTCGGGTGTCAGGCTAGGGGCCCGGTGGCTGCCAGAACCCCCCTCAGGGCCTCCCTTTGTGTCTCAGGGCAGATGAAGTCGGCCTGATTATGACGAACCTGGAGAAAGCGAACCAGGTGAGGGGCATCGCTGCTCAACAGCGGGGAGGAGGGTCAGGCCTGACAGGGAGGGAGGGATGCTGTACCTGCGCCTCTGAAAGCTTGGCCCGGTCCCTGACCCCCGACCAAGCTCCTGGCCAGGCTGCATGGGGCTGGGGACACAGACAGAAACACCTGAAAATGCAGTCCCACGACGGAGACTGCAGGTGTCTAGGAAGATGTCCTGAGGAGAGTCATGAACAGAAACCTGAGAACATGGAGGGAGGCCAACCCAGCAAGGAAACACCCAGGAAAGGCCAGGTGGAACACTGCAGAGAGCTGCTGGGCCTCCCTGGTGACCCTGGTCTGGCAGCCTTCCCTGAGTATCTCCTGATTGTCAGTGGGGAAGCAAGGCAGGAATCCCTGTCTCACCCCAGCCACAAGAGAGCGTCCCCAGGCAAAGCTGGCACTGAGTGCAAGAGGTGGGGGCAGTGGGGACCAGCCTGAGGCTGTTGCTGCCCTCCCTGCCTGTCTGAGATCTCCTCTGCCTCCTCCCTCAGTCTCAGACACTCAGCCTTCCCTGGGACCCCATCTTCTGGTTCCGAATCCGAGTTCACGTTACAAGAGGGGCTCCCACGCCCCGCCCGCCCCTGGCCTCAGGTGTGCTGCATCACAATGAACACAGTCAGGCAGGACATTGAGAGGAAGTGACCCTGGCCATGGCGGCTCAGTCCAGTCTCATCCCCCCTCACCTCTGTCCCCGACTCCCCGCCCCGCCAGCAGCCAGGGCATGGACAAGAGGGGTCAGCAGAGCCTCAAGCCCTCTGTGGCTGGGCTCACTTTCCTGCCTTTGGGTGCAAAGACACCCCTCCATCAGTCAGCACGGTGTCAGGCCACATGGTCATTTCCTGGGGGTCACTGTGGGAGACCCCTTGAAGGAGGCTGCCTCAGGGCTGGGTTTCAGAGCCTCGGCACTGGTCCCTGGAGGAAGGGCATCCAGGCAGGAGGCAGGGTAGGGGCGTAGGGCAGGGTGTTCCCTCCTGTGGAGGATACATGGATAAGTTGGTGGATCCCCAAATCCCTGTCCCCACAGGAGACTACTGGGAAGCACAGGTGCTCCCTGGCCACCCTCCCTGCTACCTAAGGGCAGGGTTTCCAGCTGGGTCCCTCACAGTGCTGAGACCCCATAAACCCCTTCCCCTTGCCCCCAATAGGAGCAGTGTCCCCTGGGAGGAGAGAGAACCCAAAGACAGGTCCAGGTGACAATGGTGGTGGAGACCACAGTGGCCACCTGGTCTTAGCTCCTATGTATTTTAAATCATTAAATGAGTCCCATTTTTATAGCATTTTTAATTTAATTTTTTTTTTATAGAACCAGGGTTTTAACTCATGACTTCACACTCATAAAGCAGGTGTTTTACCACTTGAGCCACACCTCAGAGATGGGGGTCTCAGGAACTATTTGCCCAGGCTGGCCTCAAAACTAAATCCTCCTGACCTCAGCCTCCCAAGTAGCTAGGATTGCAGATGTGAGTCACCTGTGCTTAGCAGACTTTTTAAATACATAATCCATTCATATAGTTCAACACTCATAAGAGATCTGTAAGGGTGCATCTAGAATCCCCCTCTCTTCCTGTCCCCCCAACCCTCATAGCAGATGGCCAACCCATTCACAAGCCCATGAATTGATCGGCTCTTAACCCCTTTTTAAAACAAAACCAGTGACATGCTGTGTGTGCCATCCTGAGCTTTTTCCACATCTGTATCTCGGAGCTCCTTCCAAATCAGTAAGAACCCAGAGTCACCTTCTGGCTTGTACCTGCATTGGCGTCCACTGTGTGGGTGAACCCAGTGGACTACAAACTGTCTGTAAAGTGTCACAGAATAAATATTTTTGGCTTTGCAAGCCACACAGTCTATGGTACAGAAAGTCAGCCTTGCTGTTGCTACGGAAAAGCACAGACAGCCTGTCAATGAATGAGCACGGCTGTGTGCCAATAAAACTTTATAAGAACAGGCAGTGAGCTGTAGCTTGCCAACCCCTGGCCTAACCAGCGCCCTATTGATGAACGTTTATGGTATTTCCGATCTTTTCCCATCACAACCAATGCTTCTGTGAATTACCTCAGCATCTCTATCATTTCGTGCACGCCGGAGTCAATATTCCGGGTAAATTCCTAGAAGTGGCATTGCTGTGAGTCTGTGATATGGTAGATGCAGCCAAGCTGCCCTGCTTGGGACTGTACCGATTTATCCTCTCTCTAGCAGGGGATGATAATTCCCATTGCCCTAGAGCTGCACCAGTCCTTGTGTCCTCACACTTAGCTCTGAAAAGAGATCTTTGCTGGGTGTCGGTGCCTCACACCTGTAATCCCAGCTACTCAGGAGGCAGAGATTGGAGGATCAAGGTTCAAAGCAGCCTGGGCAGATAGTTTGCAAGACCCTATCTCTAAAAATCCCATCACAAAAAAAGGACTGGCAGAGTGGCTCAAGTGATAGAGCACCTGCCTAGCAAGTGTGAGGTCCTGAGTTCAAACCCCAGTACCACCAAAAAATAATAATAATAAAAAGAGATCTCTAAGCCAGTTCTAGCAGCTCACACCTCTGTAACCCAGGATCTCAAGTTTAAGGCCAAATATAGCGAAGTTAGCAAAATCTTATCTCAAAAACAATAAAAACAAAAGGACTGGGTACACAACGCTACTGGTAGGGTGCTTGCCTAGCAAGTGTGAGGCCCTAGGTTCAATCCTCAGCACCACAAAAAAAAAAAAAAGGAAGAATAAAAAGATAACCACAGCTCTTTTAATTTTTCAAGTTACAGCTCAAGTAGTGTTCTCTAATGATGTTAACAAAGGGAACCGACTATGGGTTCATTTAAACTTAAGTATCTTAATTTGCAAAACAACCCTATGAGAGAATCGCTTTTATGATTCCCCACCTTACAGATGGGGAAATTGAGGCTGGGGAGAGGAAGCCTCTCATCAAGGAACCAGGAAGTCGTAAAGTGAGGATTTGACCTCAGGTTTCTCTGTACAGTCATGAGACTGTATCAATAACATTTGATGACTTCCTTCCAGGTTTTTCTTAGAAATCCCTATAGGTGCAACTTAGCAGACTTCTGTATTCAGATTTTAGTGGCTAGGGCCCCTCTGATGTTTTTATTGTCCCTACTTTCACAAAGGAAAACCGAGGCCCAGGAAGGGGAAGTGACTTACCCAGGAGCCTGCAAACAGCTTGTGAGCTGGGAAGCCATTTCTGCAGGTTCCCCATCCAGAGCTCTTTCCACATCTGGTGCTGTGAGCTCTGTGACAAACTTTCCTTGTGATCACCCAGGCCGGAAGTGTGCATGGCAGACAGAAGCATCTATAGATTAGGAAAGACTTTCCAGTCCCCCTGGGAAGCCCCTCCTTCCTGCCCTAGCAGAAATGACCACTGTCACTCCTGGAATCCTGGGAGCATCTTTGGGGAGTATCCCATCCTGACCTTCCAGCTAGGAATAAGCACAGGGCTGCTGGTTCTGTTCCCAGCCTGGAGCTCTGTGACAGGTGTTGCCTCCAGGACCAAGAAAGCAGGTGCAAATCCTTAGAGACACACATCTGTCCCTCCTGAAATGGTGCAGGGAGATAAGGGAGGCACAGAGGGGTCCAGTGTGGCCCTGCTCACCTCTCGTTCGCACGCACGGGTCCCCTTCTCCTCCCCAGCGAGCTGAGGCCGCCCAGCGCGAGGTAGAAAGTCTTCGAGAACAGCTTGCATCTGTCAACAGCTCCATTCGCCTGGCCTGCTGCTCTCCCCAGGGATCCAGTGCGGTGAGGATGGGGTCTGGGAAGGGAGGAGGGTGGAGGTTCAGGGGAAAGGGTGGGTGTGAATAGGTGGAGGTGTTTATGGATGGTGTGGACTTGTGTGTGGGATGAATTATGAGCGGGCTGTCTGTGGGTGTCCAAGTGGACTTGATGTCTTCCCTGTCAAGGTCTGCGTTAGTTGCTGTGACCTATTCTGCCAGCTAAGGACAAGGATATAGCCACAGTTTTAAATTTTTAAGCTCAAGCTTCCTTATACCTTTGTTTGACCAAAGTCTAGTATCTTCCCTTCTGCTTGTCCAATGCTACCAGGAGCTTTCTCAGGCCAAAGGGACATCATTGTCATGGCCAGATGCCCCTGCAAGGAGCAGAGCTGGGGACAGAGACACTGAGCAAGGCCGCTGCAGTGCAGTTTTGATGGCTGTCACCAGATGTCTCTGTTGGACATAGTCTTATCAAGCTTGGTGGCAGCATGGGACGTTGAAGCCCAGATCTGAGGCTTGACACTTGAGTTTCTATAACAGTGGGGTTTCCCACCCCAGCCCCATGCTGTGAGAGCTGGTCTCCAGCCGTCAGCCCTGAGCACCCCGTGTTAAGCCTCTTTCCTCCCGCTCACCTCCCTTTGGGGTCCTGGTATCGTTTCCTGCTGAAGGATTTCAGTCAGAACCACTGCATTCCACCCTTCTGTCCTGTCCTAATCACCTCCGCCTCATCATTGCTTTCTTATGTCAGTCCTTCTGCCCACTTTCCACATCTCTGCATGTCAAGGACTGGATAGTGGCAGTTTTCTCCACCTTGAATCCAAAGCAGCCGGTGTAATTCCCACTCCCCTGACACAGGACCCAGCATCCCATCTCCCTGTCAGTTTGGATACTGGAGTGTGTCTCTGTGACTATGTGTTACTGCATATGTGTGTGTGTGCGTGTGCGTGTGCGTGTGCGTGTGCGTGTGCTTGTGACCTGTGGGCAAGTGGCTGTGTCCTTAATCTGACTATGCCTCAGTTTCCTCATTTGTCCAAATAGCACTTACTTTGCAGGGTTAGGAAGGGATCACTGATGGCATATACGCAGTAAACATTTGATGCTGTGACCATTATTATCAGCATTTTAGCTCGTGAGAGCAAGTGACCTCTTTGAGCATACATATCTGTGTGTCATGGCGACATGTCTTTGTGAGTGTGTCTCTTTGATGCCCGGGTCTATGTGTCAGCGTGTCCTGTGACTGCAGGTGTGTCAGCACACATCTGAGTCCCAGGAAACTGTGTGCGTGCATGTGTGCGTGTGTGCATGTGTGTGTGTGTGTGTGTGTGTCCTGGGTGGCTGCACAACCTAGGGGGGAATAAATATGAGGAGGGAGCCCGAGAGTGAGAGAGCTCCTTCCCAAGAATGCCTTGGAGAGGATTTGCCAATGGTTCTTAATTAACCCCTGTGGAACCTGCAAATGTCGCTAGTCAGCCACAGAGGCTTGGCTGACGTGGGAGGTGAGCCTTCCTAAGCACAACAGTGGCGCTCGATGCTAATTAATTTAATGTATTAATGGCATCCGCTTCCTGTTTTAATTGGCATTTATCTCCGCAGAAGGAAGCCAGAGTTGGTAGTGGTTGTGGTGGGGGTGGGGGCATTGTTTTCAGTACTTCTTAAGACTTATTTCCAGTTGAGACCTAAGACCAGCCTGACTTCAGGTCCCTCAAACAAAAATCTCTCCATCTTCATCCGGGACAAACCTGAGAAGCTGTGGATCTTGGGGTTCTCAGCAAATCAGGAGGAGAGAGGCTGCAAGGTCTCAAGTCCAACTCTGGGGGTCCTTCTTGCCTGGACCTCTCTCTGAGCCGTTCCCTCTGCTCTGACCACCCAGTGCCCACTGCCCAACTAGCTACTTCCTTTTGTGGTTGTTCTTTCTTAATAACCATTTTACTTGAAGTGTAGCTTATGTAAGTAAAAATGTACAGTTCACAACACAGTGAATTGTTCAGTGTGAGTACACCTCATGCCAGCATTCAGATCCACATCCGTTCTGCTTGGCTTCGGGCAGGGAGGCCGGCCTACGGCACCCGGCCCCAACCCTGCAGCCTTCAGAGCCCCCTCTGCCCGCAGGATAAGGTGAGCTTCGCGCTGTGCTCAGGGCCTCGGCTGGAGGCCGCGCTGGCCTCCAAGGACAGGGAGATCCTGCGACTGCTGAAGGACGCCCAACACCTCCGCCACTCTCTGCAGGAGCTGGAGGAGGCCTCCGCCAACCAGATCGCTGACCTGGAGCGGCAGCTCACTGCCAAGTCTGAGGCCATAGAGGCAGGTCCTGGGGGAGAGCTGGGTGGGCGCCCCAAGCAAGATGGCAGCCTCTGAGCTTGGGGCCAGCCTCATCAACTTTGTTTGCTCTTCCAGAAGCTGGAAGAGAAGCTCCAGGCCCAGTCTGACTATGAAGAGATTAAAACAGAGCTGAGGTACTGTGCGGGATGGAGGCAGAATTCGTCCCCTTTCCCTCCCATCGGTCACCGTGGTGACTGGCTGACGCTCTATCTGTTCAGACTACTCCATTTCAACCTGGGATCCCAGCACTGGGGATGTAGAGGCCCGAGGGTCACACGCTCAAGACCAGCCTGTGCGACATAGCAAGGCTCTGTCAAAAAAAAACCAAAAACTAATCTGGATCTTTTCCATCAAGAGCTGCCTGCAGGGAGACTTGCAAGGCAGCCAGCCATCTGCTCATGGGCCAAGCTCAGGCTGGGAACTTGGGGTTCACCAGACGTCTACAGCAGCCTCCAGGGAGCAGGGAGCGTCACAACCTGTTCACAAGCCTGAGACTCAGGGCCCGGGGTTGCAGTGAGTCCACGACTGGGTATCCAATGGACTTGGCTCCAGGCCACCCACAGACACCAAAATCAGATGCCAAGCCACTCGTACAAAGTGGCCTGGCATTTGCACGGAACCTGTGCACGTCCTCCCTAAGAGGACTTTCACTCGTCTCCCTAAGTCAGCGCTGCAGATATAGCATAAGGCAAATTTGAGTCTTGCTTTTTTGGAAAGTTCTGGAACTTTTTAATTTTTTCCCAATATTTTCAATCTGTGGTTGACTGAAACCACGCTGGGGGAACAGCCTAGCATTTACAAGGCCCTGGGTTCCATCCTCAGTATCACAAAAAGGAGAGGGAGGGAGGGAAAGGAAAGAGGGGAGGGGAAGGGAAGGGAAGAGAGGGAAAGAGGTGGGACCACGATGCAGAACCTGAGAGTCACATGGACAGAGGTCCCCAGGTTGAGTGAGCAGCCGGGGCCTGGGTGACCTCAGGGCCCCCACACACACTTTCTTTGCAGCATTCTCAAAGCCATGAAGCTGGCCTCCACCTCCTGCAGCCTCCCGCAGGTAAGTGTCTCCGCCACCATCCCCGTCCCCAAGGTGGGCTGCCCCAGAGCCCCTGCCAACCTCGCCCTCTCAGCCCTGCTTCCTGTCTCCTCAGGGCCTGGCCAAGCCCGACGACTCTCTGCTCTTAGCCAAGGAGGCCTTCTTCCCTGCACAGAAGTTCCTTGTGGACAAGCCCTCGCTCCTAGCCAGCCCTGGTAGGGGAGATGGGACACTGGGACCGAGGACCCCAGTTGTGGGGTGGGGGGGTCTCTGGCTTTCTCCAAGAAGAGCCAGGGGTGTGTGTTGATTGAGCACCTGCTGTGTGCATGTTCTGCAAGTTGTCTGTCCATATCCAGACCCACATTCAAAGTCACATGGCGCAATCCTAAGCCCTACCCCCACCCACCCCCGCCCAGAGGCTCCTGTCCATCGCAAGCCTTGTCAAGCAGCAGGGGCTTTAATGAAGAATTTGGAGGGGTGGGGATGCCTCAGGTGCGCCATATGTGGGGTGGTATAGACCTAGGAAGCGCAGAGAACAGGGAAGCACAGAGAGCAAGGCGGGCATTGCCAAGAAGGGGCCACCTCTGGTGAGGGTGATGCCAGTTCCCCGCCCTGAGGGCAATGAGCTGAGCCCACAGCAGGTACTAGGTGATATTCCTGATGGGGGAAGGGCACAACTGGCATTCAAACTCAGAGTTTGAGCATTGAGGGAAAGTGCCAGTGTCAGTGCTTATGGCTGCCTATAGCCCTTCTCCCCCATCCCCCACCAACCCCCCACGCTCCCCCTACCCTCGCTCTCTCTCTCTCTCTCTTTCTCTCTCTATCTCTCTCTCCTCTCTATCTCTGTGCCTCTCTCTCCCCCTGGCTCTTTTTCTCCCCATCACTTCCACCTCTGTGTCCCTCTGTCTGTCTGTCCCTCGGCGTTCTAGAGGAAGACCCCTCAGAGGACGACTCTATCAAGGGCTCGCTGGGCACAGACCCATCCTACCCGTCTCCTCAGCAGATCCCACCTCCACCAGGCCCTGAAGACCCCCTGTCCCCCAGTCCCGGGCAGCCCCTGCTGGGTCCCAGCCTGGGACCTGATGGCACACGGACTTTCTCACTGTCCCCCTTCCCCAGCCTGGCCTCAGGGGAGAGGCTGGCTGGGGACACACTGCTGCCCAAACACATGATGCCCCCAACTGCCTTCAAGGGGGAGGTAGGTGGCCTGCTGGTGTTCCCACCAGCCTTCTATGGCGCCAAGCCCCCCACGGCCCCTGCCACCCCAGCGCCTGGGCCAGAGCCTCCTGGAGCCCCCGAGCCAGCCGATGGGGCTGGGACCTGCACGACAGGGACTGGGGTGGAGGAGGAGCAGCTGGACACGGCCGAGATAGCCTTCCAGGTGAAGGAGCAGCTGCTCAAACACAACATCGGGCAGCGCGTGTTTGGCCACTACGTGCTGGGGCTGTCGCAGGGCTCGGTCAGCGAGATCCTGGCTCGGCCCAAGCCCTGGCGCAAGCTCACAGTGAAGGGCAAGGAGCCCTTCATCAAGATGAAGCAGTTCCTGTCGGATGAGCAGAACGTGCTGTCCTGAGGACCATCCAGGTGCGGCAGCGAGGTGAGTGGCCCCAAGGCCAAGTCCAGGGCCAGAGCCCAAGGCCGGGCACAGGCTCTGGGTTCTAAAGTCCAGCTCTGCTACCTCCCCACTGTGTGACTGTCCGTGCCTCTGTTTCCTCCCCTGTAAAAGAAGGGAATATGTCCTTCCTCCCCCCTTCCCGGGGCCTGTGGCTGCCCCTGCCTCCCGCCAGGAATCCATGGAACAGCTTAGGCTGGTGATGGCAGGTGGTGTCTTGACAGGTTCCCCTTAAGCACCGCCAAGCCTCAGTTTCCCATTTATGGGACGGCCTGGTGGTTCTGAGGATATTCATTGTGAAGGGTCCTGGCTTTGCCCTCACAGACGCCATGTTTGCATCACTGTGACCACATACTGCAAAGGCCCAGACCCTCCACCTCTGGGCCTTGGTTTCCCCACCTGTCTGTTTGGTGGGGGGGGGGTGGAGGTGCGTCACAAGGATTAGGCAGACATGGAACACTGGCCACTGCACCTACCCTGACCTAAGTGCTGGAAAACAGTTGGCTGGTGGCCGTCATTGTCGTAATCACCGTCATCATGGCTGTTTATCATCTTATTATTTCAAGCCAGAACCACTTATATGTCCTGCCACCCCCATGGACAATCTGACCCTTGTCCTTCCGGCCCTGGCTCTGGAACCCTTTAGGGAGGAGGGGAGCAGACCCCACCTCAACCAGGTCAAGGGACCAGCCCCACCCTATGGGTCCTGCAACCAGTGCCTTCTCTCCTCCCCAGGCAGCATCACCCCAAGAATCCGCACACCTGAGACAGGCTCGGACGATGCCATCAAGAGTATTTTGGAGCAGGCCAAGAAGGAGATCGAGTCTCAGAAGGGGGGTGAGTGTGACCTCAGCCAGCGAGGACTGAGGCCCCAGGGCTGCTCTGAGCACAAGATGAGGCTTCATCCACCCCAGAGAGATTCCAAATGGGTCAGAGCCTTCAGAAGCCAGAGGGGTCTTTCTAGAGCACAAACATGGTCAGGCCACTGCTCAGACACCTGTCATGGCTCCTTACTGCCTTCAAGATAAAATCCCAAGTTCACAGCAAGAACTCCTGACCCCTCCATGCTTCTCCCATAAACTCAGCCTGCTTCCTTACACGCCCTTCGTACCCCAGTCACTTTTCACCTGACCAGTTCCCACTCAACTCACAAGGCATCTCCTCCAGGAAGCCCCCCCACCATCCACATGGACTGGGTACTGCCCTTTCTTGGTCCCCATAATTACCTGTAATTGTTGGTGTGATGGAGCCAGACTGGCTACAATTTCTGGTTCTGCAGTTCATTAGCTGTGTGATCTTGGACAAGTTACTTAGCTTCTCTGTGCCCTCATGTCTTCATCTTTAAAATGAGGACAGTATTAGCATTCCTTTTTGAAGGCTGTGTGGAGATCAAGTGAGATCATTCCCCACAAACTGAGGGCCAGCACGCAGAAGATGCTACAGAAATGTCGTTGCAACAAAAAATATCATTGTTAAATCATTCTTCACTGTTTCCAACCACCCTGCCAGTGTGGCTGTCCTTTCCATGGTTTAGGGGCTACTTGCAGCCAGGGACAGGGCTGCACCCAGCCCCCAGCACAGTGCAACTCAGCTCAGCACCTTGGCTGTCAGAGCTGGGATGCAGAGCTCAGCCTTCCCACCCCACTTTTCGGTGTCTGCTGCCCCCTGGTGGCTTCCCAGAGCAGTTGTCCCAGTTTTCAAGCCACTTGGGACGGCAGGCTGCTACTTGCCCAGAGCTGTCCTTCTGCCTGGTCCCATAGGAGAGGGGATCACATGGTTCCCTCACCCCTACGTTGTACAATTCCTTTAGACGTGGCAGTTTATTTATTCTTGAGCTAATCATGCAGTAAACATTTATTAAGCTCTTACTGGGTGCTAGACATGGACTACAGATCTGAGTGAGACATGATACTGGGGTAAAGAGAACCACTGTAGCCTCCCACTGCTCCGACCGGACAACTGAGATCAGAGAGGGAAGATGTGAGTTCAGTTGCAGGTGGGAGACCCTGGCCCCTGACCCCTGATTTTTGTGGCACTGGGATTTGAACTCAGGACCTCCTGCTTGCTAAGCGAGTGCTCTATCACTTGAGCCACTCTGCCAGCCTGCTGCAGACCCTCTGGACGATGTCTCCCCGGGTCAGAAGCGGGCATCAGGGAAATGCAGACAGTAGCATTACAGCGGAGGGGACATTTGTCCTAAGCCTCCAGCCATGGGTTTACGTCCAGGGTCTGTGAAGAGCTCTGTAAGAGAGAGTTGTCCTGACAAGGGTGAATGCTCCATCCAGGGACCCAGCAGCTCCAGGGGGAATGTAGGTGGCTGAGAACCAGCACAGGAGCACTGTCCAGAAGAGGGACAAGGGTTTATACACAAGATATTCCTATGACTAGCTGGAAACAACCTACGTGTACAGCAGTGAGGACTGGGAGAGTAAAGCAGATATCCTTCAAGGTCTCATTTTGTAACCTAGGCTGACCTCAAATGGCAATCCTCCTGCCTTAGCCTCCTGAGTGCTGGGATTATAGGCAGGTTCTACCATGCCCGGCTTCGGAAGAACTTTTTTTTTTTTTTTTACTTCAGTTTACTTAGAAGTGTTCCAAAGTCAACAAGACAGCTGCAACATTTTTGTCTTTTACAATTGGGGGGCATTCAGTTAACGAGCAGTTACACTGTGTAAGCTGCAGCAGAGACAAACGAGGATGAACCTCCCGCTTACAATTCTGTGCCAGTATCCAGCCCACACTGAGCCAGGCAGGGCTGTGGCTGCCAAAGTCACTACCAAGACAGGGCTACCTAAACACACATTCGGTGGTATGTTAACCATACAAAAAAGGCCAGTATACAGTTTCAAAACAAATCTTACACAGCCTTATATTTGAATTTTCTTTTCCTTAAAAGGAATGAGTTGTGTACAGGAGGGTTAAATGCTTTATAGTGAAGAAAAAGAAAGTGCAGTAGAACCAATTGAGCTGCCATCACCATCATCTCCTTCACCTCCTTTATCTGCCTCCCCTCCCTCTTCTTCCCCACCTTCCCTCTCTTCCTTCCTTTTCTTCTTTTCAGTCCTGACAACTCCCTTTTCCACCCCCCTTCCCATAGGCCTCTCCATGTTTTTCCTTCAGCTTAGCCTCCTTCCGTTGCCCAGCTTCTTTGCAGGATCACAGTGGACGGCCAGGGTGTTCTCCTTCGATTTTGGGTGATACTCAGGACAGTTCAAGGAAGGAAAAGGCCACAGGGGCCTCCTGGGTGCGCTGGGACCCTTGAACTTTTGTTTCCCTGAAGGAGGGACCCAGCTTGCATTTCTCTCTGGTAACAGGCCTCATCCGTGTTGCCATTTTAGAAACTCTGAGGAGCCGGTAGAAGCGTCTGGGTGCTTGGTGGATGGCACGCACCTGGCAAGTTGGATGACGTCTTGCCTCTCGGTTTCTTAGGGCCTCCTTTGTCCATCTTCAGTGTTTGTCTGGCCCTCACTTGCCCAGGCGCTGTCTCTGGAGCTCAGTGGCCATTTGCAAGAACGTGACCTGCCAGGAAAACATGCTTGTGTCGATACCCAGTGGGGAGAAGCCTGGCCGTGTTCCCACGTGTGCAGTGCGATCGTGCACGTGGGTTGTATAGAAAACAGACTCCAGGGACATACTCCAGAATGGCTCACTGCTGCCTCCAGGAGGGAGACCGGGATTTTTGTTTTCATCTTTCTTAAGCCTTTGTATTTTCTTCTTGTGACTTTCCGTGCTGTCTACAGTAGGCAAGCGCCATCTTATCTGTGGTTGCTGACCTTTTTAAAACTTGAAGCAAGCTGGGCGCTGGTGGCTCATGCCTGTAGTCCTAGCTACTCAGGAGGCAGAGATCAGGAGGATCATGGTTCAAAGCCAGCCCAGGCAAATAGTTTGTGAGACCCTATCTAGAAAAAAACCATCACAAGAAAAGGGCTGGTGGAGTGGCTCAAGGTGAGGGTCCTGCGTTCAAACCCCAGTACCACCAAAAACAAAAACAGAAAAACTTGAAGCAAAAATAACATAAAAGTTACAAGTTTTGAAGTGTACAATTGATGACATTTCATATATTTCCAGTGTTCTACAGTCATCAGATCTAATTCTAGAACATTCTCATCACCTCAAAAGGATGACACCATCAGTCCCTCCCCAGCCCACCCTCCTCAGCCCGTCTCTGTGGATTTACCTGTTCTGGGCACTTCACCTAAACGAAATTATGGAACAGGTGGCCTTTTGGATCTGGCTTCCATTGTACTTTGAAGATCCTTTTAGGTCATAGAATGGATCGGTACTGCTCCTTTTTATGACTGAATAATATTCCATTGATGAATTACCTTTTTAGTTAGAGAAACAGTAATTGTTTCTGATGGATCTGTGGGGATCGCCAGGGAGTAGGAGGCCCCAGCACCGAGACAGTGCTCAGAGGGCAGAGGGAGGCCCCTGTTCCTGTGCTGGCTAATTGTCGTTCCTCCGGGCCTCAATCTGTCCTTTCCTACACACACTCGTGGTAGCTCCCTGCAGGCCTCCTGGATCTGTATTTATGCATTCACTCATTTACTTGCTCACACAACAGAATGAGTCTCTGAGAGCCTCTGGCCATGCCCAAGATCTAGAAAATGCTGAGAACCTTCTCTCTGCCACCTGCCTCCCCCAACCCCACCTACCCTCCCAGAGGTACATTTTACCCTGTTTTTTTTTTCTGTTGTTCCTTTGTTTTTTGGGTTTTTTTTTTTAAGGGTTTTTACTAAATGACATACTTGTTTACTTTGCTTGAGAGTCTATAAAAGACATGCTGAGTGTCATCTTGCTTGTTTTTTGCCCAGTATTATGGTATACAGTCTCCTGCTTTAGCCTATAATCACAGCATTCAGGAGCTGAGACTGGAGGATTGTGAGTTCCAGGCCAGCCTAGGCTGTAAAATGAGACCCTGTGTTGAGAGAGGGGGGCAAGGGAGAGAGAGAGACAGAGACACCAAAAGGAAGAGAAGGGGAGGGGAGGAAAAGTAAAGGCAGGAAGGAAGAGAAGGGAAAGAAAAGAAAGGAAGCCTTTGTTTTGCAGGGTGGTTTCCTTCTTCACTACTGTGTAGTATTTCTTTGTGTGACCATTCCATCATTAGCCATCTTTCGTTCATGGACATTTGTGTTTGTGCCTTTATCATGTATCATAGAAAAGGCAAAGAAGTCTGTCATATGTGCTGTGGTCTTTCTTCTTTGAACATCTGCACATTGGATCACAGCACGTTTTTTTTCTTTAAAAAAAAGTATTTTCTGGCTTACCTAACCTACATAAGCAAAAATCTCACTGCTGGCCTGATTTTTAACGGCTGCCTAATGTTCCCCCGTGCGGATGGCCCAGCGTTGACCCAGCCCAGCCCCGTCCCCGACCCCTGGGCCCGCGGTGGCCTGAGTGGCGCTGAGCGGCCCTGTCCCGCGCAGGTGAGCCGAGGCCGGCGGCGCCCAGCGTGGCGAGCGTCCCGGGCGGCTCGTCGGAGGACGCCATCAAGAGCATCCTGGAGCAGGCGCGCCGCGAGATGCAGGCGCAGCAGCAGGCGCTGCGGGACCTGGAGGCGCCGCGGGCCCGCGCCGAGCCGTCGCCCCCCGCGCGCGCGGGCCCCGGGCCGGGGAAGCCGGAGGACGCGGCGGGCGGCGCGCTGTCCCCCGCCGCCTTCGTGCAGAGCATCATCCGCAAGGTCAAGTCCGAGATCGGCGACGCCGGCTACTTCGAGCAGCACTGGGCCTCGGACCGCGGCCTGCTCGGCCGCCCCTTCGCCCCCGTGTCGCCGTCGCTGTCCTCGTCGTCCTCCTCCGGCTACTCGGGCCAGCCGGGCGCCCGCGCCTGGCCCCGCGCCGACGACGGCACCGCGGGCGCCGAGGACGAGGCGGAGGACGAGCCCAGGGCCGAGGGCGCCGAGCGGGAGCGGGAGCGGGAGCGGGAGCGGCCCGCCGCCTTCCCCGCCGCCTTCGTGCCGCGCGCGCTCAAGCCCACCGTGCCGCCGCTCACGCCCGAGCAGTACGAGCTGTACATGTACCGCGACGTGGACACGCTGGAGCTCACGCGCCAGGTCAAGGAGAAGCTCGCCAAGAACGGCATCTGCCAGAGGATCTTCGGCGAGAAGGTGGGGAGGAGGAGGAGGGAGGGGGAGGGGAGGAGGAGGAGGAGAGGGAGGAGGGCTGAACCCCAGGAGGGGCAGGAGGAGAAGGAGCAGGAGACAGGGAGGAGGAGGGAGGACAGGGAAGAGGAGGGGGAGGAGGGGGAGGGAGGGGGAGGAGGCGGAGGAGAGGGAGGAGGGCTGAGCCCCAGGAGGGGGAGGAGGAGGGAGGACAGGGAAGAGGAGGAGGAGGAGGGGGCAGGAGGAGGAGGACAGAGGCCCACCGAAGAAGACAAGGAAGTCAGAGGCCCAAGGAGGAGGAAGAGGGAGGCCAGTGGAGGAAGAGGAGGAGGGAGGCCCAGAGAGGAAGAGGAGGAGGAGGAGGGATGTGAACAGCAAAGGGCGCAGGGTGGTCCCCTCGGTCTTGGGAGGCAGCCAGCTCACCTGCCCCGCCCCCTGCCCCCTGCAGGTGCTGGGCCTGTCGCAAGGCAGCGTGAGTGATATGCTGTCCAGGCCGAAGCCCTGGAGCAAGCTGACGCAGAAGGGGCGAGAGCCCTTCATCCGCATGCAGCTGTGGCTCTCCGACCAGCTGGGCCAGGCCGCAGGCCAGCCGCCCAGCACTGCCCAGGGTAAGTCACTCCTGCCCTCCACCATTGCCGCCCTGGGGGATCATGTGTGCTGTCTCCCTGTTCCCCTGGCACAGCTGATGCACCACCCTCTTGCTTTTTACCTCTAGAGGGTGGCCTGGGGACCCAGCGTAGAGCCCCTCCCCCATCCGGCATCTGGAATCGCTGGTCACTCTCAGCTCCTTACCTAACCATCCAGCTCACAGCCTCAGAATTTTTCTGAGGAGTCCTTTCCACAGGCAGGCTGGAGTCTGTGCTTTGCAGAGTGAAGAAACTAAGGCTATGAAAGTTGCCCAAAGTCACAGAGCCTGGGGGAGGACTGCCCTGAGCCCACTCAGCTTCCCTAGCTGTAAAGTGGGGACCAGCCGAGAGGATGAAACACAGCTGAGGTTCTCAGAAGGGAACAAGGCTGTCAGGATTACAGACCAGAAACAATATCAAGTGACATAGCAAGCTCTAGGCGACAGAGTTGAAGTTAGCAGTCAGGACCTCCAGGATAGAAGCAGCCTTTGCAGTCTGTAGCTAGCAGCCCCTGAATGAAGGGACAGGAACCACAGAGGGAGCCCCTGCTTTTCTATTTCTTTAAAACAAGAAGGGGGCTGGGGTGTGGCCTGGTGCAGAGCGCTTGCTCAGCATGGTCAGGCCCTGGGTTCTACCCCAGCAGCCAGAGGCCGGGTGGGGGGAGTTGATTTCCTCTGGGTTTGCCCACCTCCTTGTACCACTCTCAGGCTGTAAACCCAGCCCCTCTGGAGGGGATATAGGTACGTACAGGTCCCCACAAGGCAGATGCCATCAAAACTCCTCCACTCCCTTCCAGTGGACTCCAGCTGTCCTGCTGCCCTCAGTGGGCTGACACACCAAATGGCTGTTTGGCCGTTCCCTGCCTCTGTTGTGCCCCTGCTGGTTACAGTGAAGGTGGGAGGTGTCCATGCTGACTCCAGCATCACATCATTGGTCACCTGGAGAGCCAAGCAGCTAAGCTGGGACAAGAGGGGAGGATCAGAAGAGTTCTAGGACCCTGATGGGTGCTGCCTGCACCCATTGCCCTGACGGTGCTACTCAGAGTTAGTGGACTCCATTCACCCCCTTTAGGGAGTTGAAGGGTCCAGGCCAGAACTCACTCCCTGGCTAGACATGTGCCTGGAGCCTCCCGCCTCCCAGGCTCCGGGGACTCCTCATGACTGACAGGTGGTCCTGCCTCAGGGACTCCTGATTGTGGCAGAAAAGGCAGTGGTGGACAAAAGCACACCTAAGCTCAAGGCCTGGCTTTGCCACTAATCTCTGCGATCTTGGACACCTGGTGTGACCTCTCTGAGGCTTGGCTTCCTTACCTGTAAAAAGGGATGATGTAGTACTTATTCTTAGAGGTGTTACGAGATTATGGGGATAAAGCACACAGCAGGACTGGGGATGTGGCTCGGGTGGTAGAGCACCTGCCTGGCAAGCACAAGGCTCTGAGTTCAAACCCCAGTGTGTGTGTAGCACACAGTTCACAATACTGTTGTCGTCTAGGAATGGAGAAATACGGCCCAAGCAAGGAATCGTAGTGAGGTATAACAATGTGAAGTTGGTTATATTCCACCCCAAAGGTGCAGTTGGGGAAAGGAATGTTGGGACTGAGTAGTGATGGGTGCATAGGAGTTCAAAGTTAAGAAGAACACCTTCAGGGTGACAAGACCAGTCTCAGGAAATACATGGGGACTGTGGGGTATAGCACCAGGCGTGTAAGGTGGGCAGGGTCAAGGGAGTCCAGTGTCTTAATCACCAGGGCAAGAAGGTAAATAGGTTTTTTGTAAGAGGGCAGTAGGGAGCCTTAGATGGTTCTGGAGCATGGGAGCAGTACAATCTGAGTGACTCACTTGCCTTCACAGGGAAGGGAAGCACCTGTCCTGGGCTTAGGACACCTCTTCTGGAAGCAAAGCCCAGCTCCCTTCCCCTCACCTGCACTTGCTCTAAGGAAGTTCCTGCAAATGGCAGTCAGATGCTTGGAGGGAGAGGCACACTCTCTTTTGGAGTTGCTTGGGGTTTTGGTTTTGGAGTGCTGGGGATGGAGCCAGGCATGCACTACACCACTCAGCAGGACCTCCTGCTGTGTTGAGCTGTGGGTTCCATGGTTCCTCCTTCTCTTGTGTTTTTCACATACGGTGTTTCTGCAGACACGAGGCCGGGAGCTGGGTTCCCTGTTGGGTTTGTGGGTGTCTGTGCACCTTGGCTTGAGTGTCATGGAAGTGACGCCTGTCCTTCCCTGGGTGTCACGTCAGGAGACACAAGCTGCTGATTTGTTCTGTAACTAGTGACGTTGACTTTGGCCACTGGTTGAGGGCACCTCAGGGATGGCTTTCCCCTTGTAATCACCAAGCACCTGTGGGGAGAAGAGTGGCATGTCATTAGCCTCTCCTGGGATGACACTGTAGTGGCTTAGGAGTCAGATGTATCACCTCCTGGCTCTGAGGAGCTGGCTGAGCCAGATGGCAGTGACACCCCGTCCCCGTGTCTTTGTGGCCCCCAGCCAGTCCCACAGAGCCAAGGTCCTCACCGTCACCTCCCCCGAGCCCCACGGAGCCTGAGAGAGGCTCACAGGAGCCTCTAAGCCTGTCACTGGAGAGCAGCAAGGAGAATGAGCAGCCTGAGGCCCGTTCCAGCTCTGCACTAAGCGGGAAGATGCACGCAGGCAGCCAGGCCTCGGGGGGCATCCAGCAGATTGTGGCCATGTCCCCGGAGCTGGACACCTATTCCATCACCAAGAGAGTCAAGGAGGTGCTCACGGACAACAACCTAGGTACGGGGTGGTGCGGTTGAGGACCCTGGCCCCTACTGGCTTTGAGGAAAGGACCTACAATGAGGCCCCTGTGCCTCCAGCCCAGCTCTGGTGTCCAGGACCCTGGGTGAGGCACCTAACTGACCCGGATCCCTGCAGTGAGCCAAAAGGTGGACAGCAGTCTGATATCACCTGAAGTTCTCAGCCTATGGAGCTCAAAAATGTCCCAGGGGACTTGGAGAATCCTGTCTGGGACACTGTACCAGACCCTTGCCCAGCGCTGAAACCCTTGTCCCTTGCGGCCACAGGGAAGTGAGCTCTGTGGCTCTTCCCTTCTTTGTGTCACAAACTCCTCTGAGTCTTAGATTCATGTTTCCCCTGCCAGAGGGGCATCCCCCCGAACTTCCTGTTGTGAAAACAGGCATATTTGGTGTTCTACAAAACCAAACAGTATAGATAAAAAATAAATGAGTAAATAGGATCTGGGTATGATTTGCACTCCTATAATCCCAGCACTCAGGAGGCTGAGGAAGGAGGACCATGAGTTCAAGGCCTCATGGCTGCTTGTGGGCTACACAGTGAGACCCTGCCTCAAAAAAAAAAAACAAAAAGTCTAGGGGTAGAGCACTGGCCTAGCCTAGCATGTCAAGTTCCCTGGGTTCCATCCCCAGGGAAGGAGCGGGGAGGGAGGAAAATTAAGTCTAAATGCATTTTGTACCCTTGAGGAAACCCCAGGAGATGAGCAGGATCAGAGGATGTGCACATTTACATCTTGATAGACTCTGCCAGACAGTAGGAGTTTATGTATCTGAAGTTTGCTGATAACGCCATGGTCCCCTGGGAATGAAGAACCCCTTAACTGAAAGGCATCTTTCTTGGTTGCTATCCAGCCCCACCCCAAATCTGTGCTGTAGCTCAGTTCCCCTCAGTGTCACCCCTCCCCCCTGTGTGGGTCCCGCAGTCTCTGGCCCCCTCTGCGTTGGTGGAGATGGCCTGAGCTCTCACATCTGGCCTGCTTCTGGAATGGAGCAGGCTTCTCTGCCCAGCCTGGGTGACAGGCTGCCCTTGTCCCCTGTCCCCAGGGCAGCGGCTGTTTGGGGAGAGTATCCTGGGCCTGACGCAGGGCTCCGTGTCTGACCTGCTGTCCCGGCCCAAGCCCTGGCACAAGCTCAGCCTGAAGGGCCGGGAGCCGTTCGTCCGCATGCAGCTGTGGCTGAGTGACCCGCACAGCGTGGAGAGGCTGCGGGACATGAAGAAGCTGGAGAAGAAAGGTGAGAGCCCGTGTGCGCTCGAGTGAGGAACCATGAACCCCGAAATAGCGATCCCCAAAAACAGTACAGTTGAGAGCGACTGATATTTCCAACTCCAGGACAATCCAGCACCCCACCCACCTCTCTTGGTGGCCTTCCATACACCCAGAGGTCTTGCTGCCCTCAGCCACAGGGGTCCCCAGTGTTTCCCTTGGTCCACCTTTCCTCCGTTGCCTGCTACCCAGCAGAGGACAGGACACCCCAGCAAGCAAGAAGAAGAAGAGACTAGGCTCTCAATGGCCCCTTCAAAGGTCTGCTGCAGTGACTGAAGACCTCCCCTTAGGTCCCATCTCTTAAAGGGCCCACCACTTCCCAATAGCACCACCCTGGGAGCCTGCCTTCAGCAGAGGGGGCTCTGGGGAACATTCCATATGCAAAGTAGAGCAGTGCTTTTTTGCACATTTTCATGATTTGGAGTCAAGATGTGTCCTGCTGCCAGGCACCAGTGGCTCACATCTGTAATCCTAGCTACTCAGAAGGCAAAGATCAAGAGGATTGTGGTTCTCAGCCACCCCAGGCAAAGAGTTCAAGTGACCCTATCTCAAAAAAAAAACCAACACAAAAAAGGGCTGGTGGAGTGGCTCAAGGTGTAGACCCTGAGTTCAAACCCCAGTACTACAAAAAGAAAAAAAAGAAAGAAAGAAAAGATGTGTCCTGCCATAAATGGGCTCATTTATATCAGTGTCACTAAAGACTAAAGACTGTCCTAAAACATGGTGACAGCTGTGGCAATGAAGAGGGGGCCACAGAGAATGGCATTGTCTTCAGTGTGCCCTGGATATGAGACCCCAGCTGATGTCAGGCCGGTGTCTTAGGGAGCCGTGGGAAAAAGTGCAGGAACAGGCCGAGGGGACAGGCCTGGGGGTGGCTGGATGTTGGGGACACGGAGGTTCGGTGTGGGGCTCCAGCTGCCCTTGGGGAGCAGTGAGTGGGGTGGGACAGTCATTCATCCTCCCACCCTCCTGGCCAGCCTACCTGAAGCGCCGCTATGGACTCATCAGCACCGGCTCAGACAGCGAGTCCTCAGCCACCCGCTCCGAGTGTCCCAGCCCGTGCCCACAACCGCCCGAGCTGGGCCTCCTGCAGGTGAAGAAGCCTCGCGTGGTGCTGGCACCCGAGGAGAAGGAGGCGTTACGGAAGGCCTACCAGCTGGAGCCATACCCCTCGCAGCAGACCATCGAGCTGCTGTCCTTCCAACTGAATCTCAAAACCAACACAGTCATCAACTGGTTCCACAATTACAGGTAGGCCTGGGGACCGGGGGCACAGGACCCTCCCTCTCCCATACTGCTGGGCGACCTTTCCCCGAGCCTCGCTGCCTCCCTAGACATTAGGGACTGTGGGCTGGGGTGTGGCTCTGTGGTCGAGGCGCCCCCAGCGTGTGCCAGGCACTACAAGAAACAAGATGGAGGTGGAGTGGCTCCAATGGTAGAGCGCCTGCCTAGCAAGCGTAAAGCCCTGAGTTCAAACTGCAGTGCTCACAGAAGACACACACACACACACTCACACACGGGACTGTGATGGCCTCTGCCCCATGGAGGTGTCCAGAGGACTTGGTGGGCATCCTACCTCTTTCACCAGCACGTGGTCCATGCCAGGTCTCAGTGTTGTCAGTGTTACTTTCCCTGATCCCTGTTTGCTGTGTGTCTGCCTCTAAGAAGGAACTGGGAACAATACTTGGGGTTGAGGCCTGAGATGCCCTAACCACCCACCAGGCCTCACACTCCCAAAGCCAAAGGAAAGCCCTGTGCCCTTCTTGGCCCACCACCTCAGAAAGCAGGCAGTTCTGCGTCTGTGGCCCCTCGCCCCATAGCCCTTCCCACCCCGCAAGCCCGTGTCTCGGAAGTCCTGGCGCTGAGACCTGGCTTCCCCAGAGCCCAGTCCCAGCCAGCAGCAAGACCAAAGAGCGGTGTCCTGAGCAGGAAGTGCTTCTAGTATGCACATGGTAGCGTCCCAGGAGCAGAAGGAGGATCTCTGTCAAGGAGAAGAGGAAAAGGGAGACCAAGGGGAGACAGACACCCAGAATCTCCCCTCTTCAGCCATGCCTCAGCATCCCACAGACCTGAGTTAAGGTCTGACCTTAGCTGTGTGGCCTTGGCAGGCAACTGACCTCTCTGAGTGTCATCCTTAGTCTCCAGATGTGAGCCCTAGACCCGCCCCCAACACTTAATTTTGGCCAAATGAAATCACTGTGGGTAAGTGCATTGTTCAGTATTGCTCACTTTCTGGTTCACACCAGAGCCTGCCAAAGGATGAGTGGAATAGGTCCTCACAGCCCCCTTTCCCCCTTCCCTCCTGGGTGATATGGGGATGTCTTCTCCCTCCCCTCCAAACCCCCACGGGAACCAAGCACACCATTATTGTCCAGTGTGTTCCTTCAAAAATATTTTTAAAAGAACACACAGTCAGGCAGCGTCTGGAGATACGGGGTTCAAAGCCATCGTGTTCCCCACCTAAGTAGCTTTTGTCACGAACCAGATCATTTCACCACAACTGAGTAAATGATGTAAAACAAAAGGATTAGGGGCTTAGGAAAATGGGAATACTGCCTGGAGAAGACTTTACAGAAGAAGGGGTATTTGGGCTGGATTTTGAAGGATGCATAGGAGTTTGCTCCAAGGAATGGAGAAATTGCCCTCTCAAAAGAAACACCTCTCAGAGTTATGGTTGCAGAAGGATACATTATCTCATTGGATGAGTACTGGGCACTGTGGGGAACAAGACCCAGTCCCACCCTTGGCATCTGTTTTTGACCAGTGGGTGTCCACATTAATGTCTGTGACAGACTGCAGAGGGGTCTGGGAAGAGAAATAGGAAAAGAGGCAGGGAGGCCCTGTTTGAGACCCAGGGTAAGGTCCTGGGTTGCTCACCTGGGCTGAGCACAGGGTTAACAGGGTCCCCTGCCAGCCCCAGGCTCATCTCCGTCTCTGCCCCAGGTCCAGGATGCGCCGGGAGATGTTGGTGGAGGGAACCCAGGACGAGCCAGACCTCGACCCCAATGGGGGTCCTGGTATTCTGCCACCAGACCACTCCCACCCAGACCCCACCCCCCAGAGCCCTGGCTCGGAGGCTGAGGACCAGAAGCCTGCTGTGAAGGGACTGGAGCTGCAGGAGGTCTCTGAGGACAGCACCACGCCCCCGACTGCCCCGGACAGGGCCCATGTGAGGATCAAGCAGGAACAGACTGAGGAGGACAGCGAGGAAGGGATGGGCAGCCAGCCCCATGACTTAGGGGAGTCAGACAAAGGCCACAGTCCCCCCAAAGAGGAGCATCCGGACCCTCTAGGTAGCGACGGACTCCCAGAAGTGGCCCCAGAGCCCCTCCTTGCAGGTGGGAGCACCCCAGACTGCCCCTCGCTACACCCCTCCCAGGAGAGCGAGGCTGGGGAGCGGCTTCACTCGGACCCTCTGAGTTTTAAGTCAGCCTCAGAGTCCTCTCGCTGCAGCCTGGAGGTGCCTCTGAACTCACCCTCTGCTGCCTCCTCACCGGGCCTCATGATGTCTGTGTCACCTGTCCCCTCCTCCTCGGCCCCCATCTCCCCATCTCCGCCTGGTGCCCTCCCTGCCAAAGTGCCGAGTGCCAGCCCCACTGCTGACACAGCCGGGGCCTTGCACCCCAGCACCAAGGTGAACCCCAACTTGCAGCGGCGGCATGAGAAGATGGCCAACTTGAACAGCATAATCTACCGACTGGAGAGGGCTGCCAACCGGGAGGAGGCCCTGGAGTGGGAGTTCTAAAAGTCGGGCGGGAGCGTGGGGCCCTCCTGGTGGCCCCCTTCCTTCCCTCACAGGGTATGACCAGGGAAGGACGAACTCAAACATCCAAATGTGGACAGCGAAGCTATGCCATTTACAGTTTTTGTTGTAATCCTAGTTCTATGAAGTTGTGAGTGAGCAGGCGGGGCAAATGCCACTGCCCCTTCCTTTTGGCATCCCCTGCCCCAGGGAGCACCAGAAATCCTACCCTCAACCGTCCCTCCACCCTCTGCAGGAGGCAACATGGAACCACATTTCACCCGAGAACTCCAGACTCTTTTAGAAAAATAAAGAAATATTTATAGACTTCTTTTAGATATTTTAATAAAGGATCCTTTGGAATTTATTCCCAGTCACTGCTGTTTTGATATTACAGAGAGTTATGAAATCAGGACGCTATCACAACTGTTGGGGAGTTACACACTGAAGTTGTGTCGGATTTTTTTGCCACTAGATGAGATTAAAAGAAGACAATTGTTCAAAGCCATCATAAAACACCCTAAGACTGACCAAATTTAGCTAACTTTTGAACCGAGGTTCCCCCCACACCTGTCTGTGAGACACAGTGTTGCTTATCTCCCTTCCAGAAAACCATGCTGAAGACAAAGTCCAAAAGACTCTAAATGAAAACGTTTATGCAGTTGAGGATGTGTTCCGCGCTGGTGGTCTGTGTGCAGCCTGGTGACACGGGATGGGTCGTGCTGGTGACACGGGATGGGTCGTGCTGGTGTAAACGCCACAGGAATGTGGGCTGCAACCCCGTTCCTATACGGGGTGTAGCATGGTACGAGACAGACTGCCTACACTCCGCTACCTAGAAATCTGCAGGCCTTGGAGGTCAGACAGCCGTGGCACCCGAGTGTAGACAAGGCGTGCTGCCAGGTCCTTTGGAAAGCTGGGTGTGGGGACAGGTGTTTGGAGAGCAACGCCTAAGACACATGATCCCACTTCCAGCTGGAATCATGGCTGCACCCAAGGAGTTCCCCTCTCAGCGCAAGCGTCGGCATTCCAGAGAGGACTGTGGTCACCGTCTTCCCTCTTCGTGTTTCCAGAAAGTGACGGTGTTGATCAACCACATAACTCACACTTAGCAACCAGCCCCCCAGAATAGAGTCATCCAACCAGAGCCCCTCAACACCCCTTGTTGCCACCTTGTATTTTGAGTTAACCCCGGAGCCTCCTTGGAAGGCAACTCCAAGTCCACGTGGGACTCAGCAAGGCCAAGTTCATCACAGCAATCTCCAAGTTCCACCCTCCTTTCCAACACATGGCCTGCTGGGGTGCAAAGACTCAGCCCCAAACTCAGAAGAGCCCCCAACATGTTTGTCACAGTTTCTAGGGGGAGAGGTCCCCACTTTGAAGAAACAGCCACCATATTGGTTGTTGAATCAATCTCTCTCTCTCTCTCTCTCTCTCTCTCTCTGTGTCTCTGTCTCTGTCCCGCCCCGCCCCCCCACCCCATGTCTCTCTCATTTCTTTTCCAAATTCTGTGGGGAGGCTTGTTTGGGCAACTCTGGAACGAGGATGAAAACGTGACCATAATTAGGAGAGGTGGCTGATGGATGCTGTGAGCGTTTTGAAACCACCTGAGCAAAACCTGGCGACCAGAAAGGGACAAATGAGGAACATTCCAGAAATCCCAGCTCGCATGCACCCAGCCCATGCCGCAGTCTCCTCCCCAAACAGTCCACAGCAAGCACGCTCAGAAGGAGGACGTCCTTGCACACACCCAGGCTATGCATCCAAGCGTTTTCCACTGTATACATTTTTATCCAGATGAAGGTATTTTTATATTTTGACAATAGAAAATGTGACCAATTTTCAGAGTCATCCAGTGTGGAACAAAGGAAATAGCTTTTGGCCACCGCCGCCCTGTTGCAACGAGAGGGAAGCAGAGCACTTTACTCTAAGTCAAACCCAACATGACCTGAAATCCAGGCTCCCGCAGGCTCCGACCCGTGTGGCTTCAGTGTGGCAGATTTGATCAGCACTGAGCCTGCCATTCTACCAAAAGCTCGCAGACCCAGGGACAACTCAGTCCCCATCACATCCTGCAACGGTGAAAAAACAAAACACACACACACAAAAAACCCCACGGAACTGTTTCTATGAGAGATTGGTGAACTTTGTTTAAAATTTTAAAAAGCACATTCTGTAAACAAGTCGGTGAATACAGAATTGTGTAATATTCTGGGTGTCCGCTTCTTTGTTCTGGAGCTGGGGGTAAAGATTGGGGGTGCGATCTGGCTCTCAGGGATGTTTTACCAAACTGTATTTTTAATAACTGGGGGTCTTGATTTCTTTGTTTGTTTGTTTGTTTGGAGACACGGTCTCACTGTGGAGCCCAGGTGGCCTCGAACTCACCATCCTACACTGTCTGCATGCTGGGATCACAGGTGTGGCCACCATACCTGGCAAAAGCTAGGTTTTTCGTTACGTGCCAACATTAAAATATGGGGACATGTCACTGAAAAATCACCAGTCTGGACTTCTCTTGAAAACCCGAACATCTGGCCACATTGGGCCATAATCTGATGTGACAACAGCCAGCTGAGTTGCTCTTTGCTCAGGGCAAATGCCTGAGACGTCACCTCTCCTGGCCACTGCCTGTGGTGCCTGATGGGCCACTATGCTTTAGGCACCAGCTGCTTTGAAGGAAGGTGGAAGGACTGGAAATCATCTTATGCGTGGCCCAGCAGGTGGAAGCTGGGAGGTTGGAGTCTGGGACCCAGGACTAGGAGTCAAGGTTGTGCTGTGGCCTTTGGCCATGGCCCAAGGGCTACCAGTCTCTTACTTGGCACCATCTTTGCAAAGTAGGGAGTGGCTGGTGTCCCCAGTCCTTGATGGGACAGGCCAGGAAGGGCTTCCTGGAGACAAACAGCACCACCCCCTCCCGGATATATAACGAGGGTCTCAGTTTCCCCACCTCTAAAATGGGACCTTGCAGCAGCTGGCTCTGAGGGTCATTCTGGTAGCATGTGACATATCACACACAGACCAAGAGCACAGAGCACACAGTAGGTATGACGACTATCAGTCGTCACTGGAAGTGGATGGCTTGTTTCAGTCCCAGAGAGACTGTGCATTCGCAGCATCTGGGGTTTCATGTGCGTGACCAGAGGTGTCCAAAGAGCCCTGGAATGGCCTGAAATGTCACTCATCCATGAGCCACAGCCACATGGTGTCCCAGACATTACTGCCCTTGTCTGAAAACTTTCCGATGGCCCCCGTTTTTCCTCATGGTGGAATTCAGTGATTAATTGTCCCCGCCTGGGCTAGGACAGCTGTTTCTCTAACCCCAGCAGGACAGCCCCTCAGGCTGCGTGGACGTCAGGTGGGGGGTGTGGCAGGTGAAGGCTAAGAGTCCCTTGCCCTTGAGATCCCAAGCCTCCTACAAGGGTGACGTTTCTGGTGAACCCAGGCTTCCCTCTGAGTCTGGGAGCCAGAAAACCTGTTTTCAATCCCAGCCCCACCCTGCCTAAACCTCTGTGTGCCTCTGTTTCCCCAGCTATAAAGAGGGGGTGATAGCAATAATGCCTTCCTCACCAGGTGGCTGTACATTTTCAATTACAAGAGCCCCGACCTTCTGGATCCTGTCCAAAGCACGTGAGGTCAGAAGTCGGAAATCCGTTGGGCGTCAAGACACACCCAGTCATCCTTGGGAGGCTGAGGCTGGGAACCGCTTGAGCCCAGGGTTTTAAGACCAGCCTGGACACAAAGTCAGAAATCCCCATTATTATTACTATGTAGGTGGCGTGGGGCAGGGATGGGACTTGGCACACAGAAGCCACCTCTGGAACTGAAGCTCTATTTTGCAGTGTTGGTGTTGACATCTGATCTGCAGTCAGATTTGCCCTGGAGCCAAAAATGCAGGAAAAACCCAAAGGTGGAATTTGGGGGTGGGGGAGTACAGAATGAGTAGGCCTTCCCAGAGGAGGCAGAGTGAAAATGGGGCAGAGGAGAGCAGACAGCTGCAGCTGTTCATCCAGCTGTGCTTTGATAGGGGAAATACAGGGAGCTGTAGGAGCCAGGAAGGCTTCCTGGAAGAGGAGGCATTTCCCCAGGAACCTGAAAGATGAGAATTAGGGAAGCAAAGGAAGGGCATAGAGAAAACAGGTGGTGACAGGTGGGATGGAGGAGAACAAAGGAAGCTGGAATATACAGGATAGAGGTGTGAAAGGTAGACAAGGCCTGATGGAGAGTGGTGGGCTTTGGGGAGCCATGCAGCGTGTGAGGCAAGAGGTTGCTGTGGTCACTTTTAGGCTCTCTCTGCCTGGGGAGACTGTAGGCTGAGAGCAGTGGGCTCCACACAGGCCTCTCTCTCCCTTGACCTTCTGAGGATGGCCACCTCATCTGTCCAGTCCTGTTTAGTGGCCCCAGGTACTTGTGTCTGCCTGGTGCAGGCCAGGCAGGTGCATAGCCCTCGCCACCTGGCCAAGTGGAATGTGACTTGCCACATGCCCTGTGGCTTTGGTGAGTGGCCTGTGCTGATCTCGACGACAAGTAGCTCTCGGGACCCTGGTGCCATGGCAAGTCTTTTTTTAACTTTCAGGAAGTGCGGGGCTGTTGTCCTCAGAGGCTGCGCTGTGCCACCCTGCCAGCAGGGCCCGAGGGACCGCAGGATGGCATCTCCGCAGCCACGCTGCCTGGTTGGGCTCACAGCAGCCACGTGATGGCTAGGAGGTATCATGCTGTAGGTTTGCTTTGCGTTTCTCCTCTGATTAGCTCCTTAGCTCCGTGAGGCACACTGTCACATGCTTATGGGTCACCTCTGGAGCAGTGGCCACTAGCATCCTGTCCCCTTCTAATCGGTTGCCTTGTGGTTGTTTCTTTATCAGGTCACAAAGGACCTGCAAATATCTTCCCATGGGCTGCCTTTTAAAAAAAAGCTTTGTCACAAAATGCAAAACCTACAGCTGGGCCCTGGTGGCTTATTTTGCCACCATGGAAAAGTTTACTTGCTATTTGGGCGCTGGGACTTTAGAAACTGGGACAGGTGAGGTGACATGAGATGACAGTGGACAGTTGCCCCAAGATCTGGCCACATAGGGGCAAAACAGCCCCATTTAGGGCCACACATAGAGATGTGACATCCTTCAAATACCTGTTCTTTCCCGAAGAAGGGGAAAGATGGAGGCTTCCAGGGAGAGGATGAGAGGCAGTGGCCCCTCCACCATTCCAAGGAATCCTGCTGAGGTCCCAACCACATCTCCCTGAGTCGACACCACCCTGCAGTGGTCCCCCAGAGCCACCCTCCTTAGAAGGGACAGCTGTGGTCACTCTAGCTTATCCATTAGGAAGCCTCTGGCTGCAGTTAACTAAGTCCCACTCACAGCTTTGAACAAAGATATTATCCAAAAACCATTTACAAGCATTTGTCAAACTCAGCAGGGATCCTACATCATGGTCACAAGATGGCTGCCACAGCTCCAGGCATCACAGAACTCCCCAGAGAATAGCAACAAGCTTTTCATTCTTTCCATTATGTTGTATTTTAGAAGCAAGATGACCCTTCCAGTTGGCTTACAGGGCCATACTTTGGCAGCTAAAGTTTGGTCAGTCCAGGAGTCAAATGGCAGCAGCCTAACTGTTCGGACGGACTAGTCACTCAGGACAGATGGATGCTGGGCAGCCAACCATAACCTCTGGCCACAGTGGTCCCCCAAAGGGTCTTATGCCCAAGCTGACCACATAGTGTCCCTCTTAGGCCTGTGTGCTGGACAGCTCCGTAGGTAACGAGGAGACACACTGATCACAACATGGATCAGGGACCATCGTGTCTCCCCTCTACCTTTCTGTCACCTCCACGGGAACATTCTGGCAGGTGAGGGCACTGGCGACCCTCTTGGAACTGCCTCTCCTGCTGTTTTCCACACTTCTGTACCCTATGGTGGCTGCGACCACAAATGCCACAGGCGGTGCCCTGACTCAGCCCCATCTGTCAGCTGCGGTCTCACAGGAGACAGGAAGAATTACTCACTTGCACTGGGCACTCAAATGTGCCCTGATCCCGTGATCCTGACCCGAGCGTTTTCCATCAACTTGACATGCGTCTGTAGGTGCTTCATCCTAAAGCCACATTTTCCTGACCGTGCCTGACTTTCCCAGGCTGCCGGGGAGAGCTGTGACTTGCACCCTGGGTCCACATTAGGAAAGGCTGAATCCCCACGCTGGGCCCCCTGGGATCCGCCTCTTCCCTTCCGTGGACCCCCACAGGCACCCAAAGACAGCGTGAGGAAGCAGGTGGACAGCGCGAGCCCCCCACCCAGCACTCACAGCAGACACTGCACATCAATCTCTCACACTTCCCTGTGCCACTGGGGACTGATCGGTGACGAGAGCCAGGCATTTCACTGTTTTGGGGTTATTTTTTTGAGGCAGGGTCTTGGGCTGAGATCCTCCTGCCTCAGCCTCCAGGGCATGGGATTGTGGGTGTGGCCAGCAGGCCTGGGAGAGCCAGGTTTTGACCTTTCCCTTTGCCATTCCTGGTCTAGCTCACTAACCCTCGGGCACTCTGCCCAACTGGACCGTGGAATTCTATTCTTTCTTCACACAAAGGAACTTTGTGCTCCAGTTTCCCTTGTGTTCCTCCCAAGGACACTGTCCCGACACAGGTCTTGCAGTTACACCCCTGCTCTGACACTCTAGCTGTGTGGTCTTAGCAAATGCCATAACATCTCTGAGCCCCCGCTTCCTCATCTACAAGATGACGTCATGAGAATAGAGCTGACAGAGCATCAGCCATGAGGGAAGGTGACACACTGATCACCTTCCCTGGAGAGCCTGCTCTGGGCTCTGATGGACCAATCAATACAGGATTGTGCTGGAGAGAAAAGACAGACAGCCATGATCTGACAAACTTTTATTGTGGCCCCTCCCTCTCCAGGTTGCCATCTCTCTTGCACCCCACCCCGGGGGCAGCCAGACCCCACCTTGTGCTTTGAGAGGAAGAGGGTCTCAGCTGCTCTGGGGGAGAGGAGGGCCACTGTACCTTTAGAGTCTGTAAACCAACCCCAGACTGGGGCTCGGCCAGGACCCAAAGCCATACAGGTTGTGGCCAAAAGCCACCCTCACACAGTCTGGGGACTTGGAGAGGGGACTGGGGATCGTACCGTGGTCCCAAAGGCACCTGGCGAGAGAGCAGGGCTTGCCAGGTAGCAGGCAGAGACCCAGGTGAGCCTCTCTCTGCAGGCGCCTGTGCGTGTGGAGCTGGGCCTTTCCAACCTGCCACCCCTCTTCCTGGGGACAGTGCCACCCAAGCCCAGAGCCAGGGTGCCATCCCTTCACGCCAGCCAACAGGAAAAAAAGTAGTGAAAACACTGAGTTTTGTTGCCAGAAAAACAAAACACCCTACATATTAAAAACAAAAACAAAAACAAAAGCAAACTTCCCGGCCCAGCCCAGTCCTCTGAGCCAGCAGAGAGCTGGGGGCCACTCCAGACACATCCCCCAGTGCCCCCCGCCCTGGGTCCCCCAGTACAAAGAAAGGCCAGGGCTGAGTCTCATCAACAAGGAGCAGCCTGCGGAAGTGGAGGTTGGAGTGGCGGTGTCCTCGGCCCCAGGGCGGAGCACCGAGCACTGTAAACATGACCCAGGTGAGGTGGATGAAGAAGGGCACTGCGGTGAGAGGTGAGCCAGCAGCCAGCCAAGGTCAGCTGGGGCTGGGACTGGGAGGCCCAGCTGGGGCAGAAGGGCGGGCGGGACGCTGCCTTCGGATGCAGCCGAGGAGCTCAGGAGACGCGGGGCGGAGTGCGGGCAAAGCTCTGTCTCGCAGAGCCCGGGCCTGGCGTTGGGCACCGAGCTCAGCCAGCGCCCCAAGCTGACACCTGGGCCTGCTCCCTGGGCGTGGCCTCCGCACCCGTGCGGTGGGGGCGTGGCCTCCGTGCCGCGGGGGCGTGGCCAGCGCAGGCGGGCGGGGCTGACGGGCGCAGGCCAGATGTGGAGACCCCAGATCCCTGTTCCCGGCGCCAGGCCTGCGGCCAGCGGCGTCCTGTGCTGGGTCACACGGCTCCCAGCCCCGGTGCTTCTCAGCGTCCGCGCTATGCATGACGTCCCTCAGGGCTGGGCCTGGCTGCGCCACTGGCTGCGGAGGGCGCGGACCTCCTGTCCGTACCACTCGTGCAGCCGCGCGAAGGGCGCAGCGGCGGCCGGGGGTCCGGGGGGCGCCGAGGCCCGGCGGCGGGGCGGCAGCGGGGGGCGTTCGGGGCCGGCGGGGGGCTCGGCGCTCCAGGCGGCGCGGCCGTTGGCTTTGCCGTCGCCGGGCGGCGGGGATGGCGGGGATGGCGGGGACGGCGGGGTCGTGCCGGTGCGCGCGGCCGCCAGCTGCTGCTCCAGCTCGCGCACCACCAGGCGCAGGTAGGCGAAGCTGGCGCGCGACAGCGCCTTGACCCAGGCCTCGAGCGCAGCCTGGCTGTCGGCCGCGAGCACGTAGGAGCGCGCGCGCGCGCCCGCGAAGCGCACGGCGAAGGCGAAGGGGAAGCGCGCGGCCTCGGCCAGCTCCACCGTGCAGCCCTCCAGCACGATGACGCCCTGCGGCTCGCCCGCCGCCGCCTCCTCGAAGTAGAAGAGCATGTTCCCGCGCAGCACGAACCAGCGCCGCTGGAAGGTCGCGTGTCGCCCGCCCAGCTTGTGCAGGAAGCCCGCGCGGTCCACCGGCGCGTCGCACGTGGCATAGCAGGCCAGGCTGCGCTCGTTCAGCTTCATGGCCGCGGGCCTGGGCAAAGGAGGCACTGTGAGGGCGGCCACCACAGCGCTCGGGATCCCCGCGTCGCCAGGAGGACAGTGAGGCTCAGGGCGGGGGCGGCCCCGTCCACCCCCAAATACGGGGGACAGTGCCTACTGGTGAGCTCACTCCTTCTGAGAATGGCCCTCCAGGGGACAGGGCTGGATCGGTCAGGCCTCGCCTCGCCCGAGGTCACAGGGGAAGTGGGGCCGGGCGGGCCTGGTTTCAGGACATGACCAGCTGGACCTTGCGGGGGCCCAGCTCAGATATCGTGACTGCCTTGGTTTGTCTAGCTGCACAATAGGTAGGGATAACAACAACCTATAGCAGAGTTGCAGAGACTTAACTTCATCAGCTACTGAGCACCTACTGTGTGCACAGTTCTAGGAAGCAGAGATACAGCAATGAAGAAGACGGACTGGGTCCCTGACCCCATGGTGAGGACGCGCGGGTGTCAGGAGGAAGGAGGCAGATACTAACAGACGAGATGTCTTGACAGATGGCCCAATGTGTAGGGAGGAAAAATGAAGCGGGCAGGTGTGCTGGGGACAGAACAGTATCTGGTGGAAGCCAAACTGAGACAGTGACAGATAAAGACTCCAAGCTGGTGAGGAGGGGCCGTGTGGGGGAAGGGCATGGCAGACAGGAACAGTAAGTGCAAAGGCCCTGTGGTGGAAACCTGCTGCTGTGTTAGGAAGGGCCAGGACCTGCTGGGTACCCATTCCTGGAGGGCTCTAAGTCTGTGAACTTGGCCCTCTGCCAAGAGCTACATAATGGGGCCACACTGGCCAGGCAGTCCCAGTGAGGCTGGGCTTCCTGGGGATGTGGCTGTTTGACAGTCACTTGGAGAACCTGCACCCCACACACCCACTTCATGGTGCCACCCTGCGGAGGCTACATTTTTCAAGTATGGAATGCAGGAGGTGCTCAATTAATGTTCATTTCCCGTCTGGGTGGTGTCTTACTTGGGGCCCAGAGGAATGAGGTCTGGCGGGTGGCTCCCCTGGAAGCACAGTGGGGCCCAAATCAGCCACCTGACTAGGACAGAGGACAACAGCTGCCAACTGAATGCTTTCCTTGCCACCTCGTAGTAGTTGGAAGGGCTTCGTGCTGTGAGTTGTCCCAAGCCAGCAGCAGGGCAGAGGCCTGAGCCCCCAGAGCTCACCATGTTCAACCCCCAGCTGCGTCTCCGAGCTGTGTAATGTCACAGGGAGCTGCCCCTCCCTGAGCCGCCATTCCTGACTGCACAAGGGAACACTCACACCCCTTCCCCCAAAACAATCTCACTGAACCCTGGCTCCATTTCTCACCGGAACCTCCTAGTGGACCCCCCTTTCCCTCCTACCTCTTTGGCCACCGCTGGCCTCCCCGTGCTCTGTCCAGCTCCAGTCTTGGCTCACACAGTTCACACAGCAGCTCTGTCCTCTCCAGGCTGGGTGACCCCAGGCAAGCTATCAGCCTCTCTGGGCCTCTGTTTTGGTGTCTGTAAAATGGGATCACATGGGGGAGTGTCTAAGTCAGGGTTGTTGTGACAAGAAGACAGTGACATCCTGTGCCAGGCCCTCACTCTACAGTGAGCTGCTGACATTCATTCTTGATTTTTGAGACAGGATTGGCTGTGTGACCCAGGCTGGCCTCAAACTTACAGCCCTCCTGCCTCTGCCTCCTGAGTGCTGGGACTACAAGAGGTGCCACAATGCCTGGTGCTATTGACATTCTTCTGGGCCTCCCCAATGTTCTATCTAGTGTGCCTAACTCAGCAAATGGCCTCAGGTGTCCCTCACTCAGCAATTGGCCTCAGGTGTCCCTCTTGCTTTATACCTGATTACTAAGGCAGGTAATCTCACCCCAACAGCTTCCAAATCAGTAGTCTAATCTGTTGACAACGCCCCCCACTCTGGGTCCACAATGCACGGGCTGGGACAGATGCAGTAGTCTCCTGAAAGCCTTCCACTGGCCCCACTGAAATCCACACCTCACAGAGCGAGCCTGTTAAGATGAAATCTTAGTCTCTCTTCTGGTCTGAAGCCTCCCGTGGAGGCTTCAATACACCAAGCTTGGTGCCTGTAATCCTAGCTACTTGGGAGGCTGAGATCAGAAGGATCAAGGTTGGAGGCCAGCCCAGGCAAAAAGTTCACAAGACCCGATCTCCCAAATAACCAGAGCAAAATGGACTGGAGGTGTGGTTCAAGTGGTAGAGCGCCTGCTTTGCAAGCATGAACCCCCATGTTCAAACCCCAGTCCCACCAAAAAAAAATTCAGTCATCCCCAAGGCTTCCAAGTTCCTTTTCCCTACCTCTTCCTCCCCACCCCCCACCTGTTCAGCTCCAGCCATCTTGGCCACGTTTCTGTCCAAAAACGCAGGCAATGCCTACCTTAGGGTCTTTGCCCTAGCTGTTCTCTACCTCCACTGCCCTTCCATACCTCTGCAAGGCCCACTCCTCTTCCTTCAGCCCCAGCTTGACCACACTTCCTCAGGGAGGCAGTCCTTGGCTATTCTATGGACAAGAGACCCCCACCCCAGTCACTCTTCTGTACCTTGACCTGAGGTTACCTGGGCCATTTGTGCCTGCTCAGGAGGCCAGGGGGGGTTGTCTTAATTCCAGTGTCTGGCATGCAGTAGGTCCTCAAATACCTGTGAAGCAGTCAAGCAGTTACTTTCATGGACCTCTCAGCCCCCTGGCAAGGGGTCTGTTCCCCACCCCACATTCACAGATGTGGAAACTGAGGCACGGGGGGTGGGGAGGGGTAAGTAACTGCCCAAGAAGCAGGGCTCTGGACAAACAGTGCAACTGGGGGTCTGATCTTGGGGTCTCCCCATCTTATTAAAACTGAAGGAAGAGCAAGTTCTCTTACTCTCGGCAGCTGTCCTCCCCCTCCTGCCCAGATGGGCCCAACCTGACCCTCAGTCACCAGCTAACACAAGACACAGCTCTGCTCACAGCCAGAGAGAGAGGCAGGTGAAGATCACAGGGGCACAGGCTCTAGCCTGCCTGGAGGGAGCACCTGGTTCCTGGCTGCTCAGATCAACCCATGCTGCTACCTAGCAAGTTCAGAGTCCATGTGGCTGCTGCTGGTTCAACAGCCTGCTACCAGGCAGGAAGCTGGAGGGGCCTAGCTCACTCAGCTCCCCAGAGACATGTGCCTGCCTCTGCCAGTCCATTCTGGAGAATCTCACACAAGTCACTTCACCTTCCCCAGCCTGTTTCCTCAGCTGTTAAATGGGCTGCAAAGAGGGTTCAATGAGCTAAAATATGGAAAACCACTCTATAGCTTCTGTGGACATCATGGTGGTACACACCTGTAATTCCAGCACTAGGAAAATGGAGGCAGGGCAAAGCAAGCCTGGGCTACACAGTCAGACCCTCTCTCAAAAGATTAAAAAAATAAATTTTTTTGTGGTACTGAGGTTTGAACTCAGGGCCATACCCTTGATCCACTCCACCAGCCCTTTTTTGTGTTGTTTTTTTTTTGAGATAGGGTCTCGCGAATTATTTGTCAAGCTGGCTTTGAACCTCGATCCTCCTGATCTCTGCCTTCTGAGTAGCTAGGATTTACAGGCGTGAGCCACCGGCAAAAAGAGGAGGAAAGACATTAGGTGCTGTGAGCCGGGTTCTCACAACCTCATTTGTACAGCGTGCACATTACCGGCCATCCCCTCAAGAACGGCTGTCACCCTGAAGAGTCGTTTTTGCAAAATGTCTCATGCTTAGTGAGCTGGCTTGCGGAGAAGGAACTGTCAAAGAAGCAAGCCATTAGCCTGGGGCCTCTGGGATCACAGCTGGCCCCAGAACTAGGGCCCTGGGGAAACCGAGGCAGGCATTTTCACACTTCAAGGAAAGAAGCACAAACCACAAGGTTGAGTCCAGCTGCCCCGAGTGTCCCCAGCAGTGGACGTGGGGAGAGGGTGTGGCGACCCCGCGGAGCCGCCTGCCCGTGCGGCCCAAGCCGGGACCTCAAGGAACCAGAACCATAGCCCAGGATCAAGGCAGAGGCTGTTCTCCAGGTGTGGCCTGCCCTCGCTGCCCTCTGTCGCTTTGCATGTCGCGAGTGGCAGCTCTCCCGGGTTCCTTTAGAACAGCCAGGGCCCCCGACGGGGAGGCCAACGGCAGAACGCGGCGCCCACGGGTGGTCCGCCGCCTTCTCCCGGGGGCGGGCGTCCCCTAGGGGGCTGGGGCCACGGGATCTCGTGCTCGCGGGGCGATCGAGCAGCGTGCGGGTCAAGCGGCCGATCCCTATCCCGCGTCCCCACGTCCCCGCGCAGGTCCGCGCCAGCTCTCCCCGCCAGGCCGGCCTTACCTCGCTGCGCAGGCCTCGGCGGCGGGACCGCCCGGCCATGGCCCGGGTCCCGCGCGACGGTGGTGGCGGCGTTGCTTTGTCTCCCGGGCCGCCGGGCGCGCAGCCGCGGGAGAGCCACTCGGACGGAAAGAGGCGGGACGGCCGGACAGTACGCGACCTGCGGGCGCGCCCCTTTAACCCTCCGCGGCCCGCCTGCGCAGGACCCGCCCCCTCGCCGCTCGCGCCCTCTGATTGGCCACGCCCCAGCCGGCACGCCCCTAGCTTCGCCACGCCCCAATGAGCATGCTCCCGAAACCACTCTTAAAGAGACCGCAGCGGGTTCAGGACTCCCCAGGGTCTTGTTCCAGAAAACCTGATGATTCCAGCCCAGAAAACTCAGTGCCGTTCCAAAGGTAAGGACAGGCCGCAGATTCGTCTGGAAAAAGCTTTGGGGCCCTGGAAGGAACGGGCACTTGCTGACGTCTTAGGTGTCCGCGTTCCCCACCCTGGCTAGGATTGCCAGATTTAGCAAGTTTAACTCCCAGCTCAGCTTGAAAAATAACTCTTTAATTCCCGCATTGGAAAAACAAAACTGAATATAGGACATTTCATGACAAAGTCAATACAGGTCTGTTCCTAATGTACAAGGTCCCTGGAGAGCTAAACCCTTGCCCCAGGTGAGGAGGGAAGGTTCTAAAGGTGGGCAGAGTTGGAGCCTCACTAAGTCACTCTGGCTGTGTAACCTGAGAGCAATTGCTTCACTTCTCTGGGCTTCTGTGTCCTTGTCTGTAAAGTAAAATAAGCCTAGCAAGACGAAACAAATAAACAAAAACCTGGCTACATACAAGATGAGAGAGAGAGGGAGGGAGGGAGAGAATATAAAGTACATGAGTCAACAGCAGGCACTCATGAAGTAAGAATTGCTGGGGGGGGTGATTTTTTTTTTTTGTTGTCGTTTTTACTTCCCCAAAATAACACAGCTCCATCTCCCTGAATCCTCCTTTACTTCCTGTTCCTGGCCACACTCCCCTCCACCTCCCAATTCACCTGCAGGCTTAGCCTGAGGACAGAAGGGAAACAGACAAATCAGGATCCTGGGCTCATTCCACAGCCTCTCACTAGTGCCTGCTGTGTGCCAGGCACTGTTTCCAAACCAGATAGAAGTAGCCAGGAGTCAATCAACAAACAATAAGATAAGCTCTAGAGGTGGCTCCTGCTAGGCAATGGGGTAGAAAGACAGAGAGCAGCCTTTAGGTAAGTGGTCAGGGAAGACCTCTTTGAGGAGCAGAGACCTGAACAAATGACAGGCAGAGGCAGGCACGTTGATGTCTACAAGAAAGGTGTCCCGGGCAGAGGGAGCAGCAGGTACAAAAGGCTCTGAGATAGGACCTCCTGGGCTTGAAGTACAGTGAGACCCCACCTCCAAGTGGAGGAAGAGGAGGAAATGAGGTCAGAGATTTGGCAAAACCACGGTGAATGAGGATCTTGTGGACCTGGGAAAGATTTAGCTTTTGTGATGAGAAGAATGGGGAGGCATGCAAGGGTGTTGAGCGGGGAGGAATGTGATCTGGCTTAGGTATAACCCCATCCCTGGCTACGGTGAGGAGGATGCACTGTAAGAAACAAGGGAGAGGCCAGGAGTCCAGGAAAAGGCTACTGCAATGGGCCAAGCAAGCCAAGATGATGGCTGAGAGCAGAGAGTCAGGCAGTGTGGAGAAGCAGAGAAATGGTTACGTTTTGGATGTATAGTTTAATATCTATATAAGATTTGCTGATGGCTTAGACATGGGGAATGAGAGGTAGAAAAGGAACCAAGAATGACTCCATACCTTTGGGCCTAAGTAATGGGGGGGAAATGGAGACGTTTTGGAGGAAAAATCCAAGTTGGAACTGGATATTCATATAGAAAAAAATAAACCCTGACTGGGCGTGGTGGTGCACATCTGTAATCCCAACTACTTGGGAGGTGGGGACAGGAGGATTGAGGCCAACCCAGGGCAAGGGTAAAGTTAGGGAGACCTTATCTGAAAAAGAGAACTCAGAATAAAAGGACTGGGGGCGTGGCTCAGGTGTAGGGACCAAGGCCCTGGGTTCAGTGCCCAGCACAGCAAAAGAAAGAGAAAGGAAACCCTGACCGTATTCACACCATTCACAGAAGTCAACTCAAAATGAGTTCCAGACCTAAACAAACGCTAAGCTACAAAGCGTGGGGCGGGGAGGAGGTGGCCCAAATAATGTATACACATGTAAGTAAACGTAAAAATGATCAAATTAAAAAATAAATAAAAGTCCCAGGGACCTGCGTGTTGCTCCTTGGTAGCGTGAGTGCTCCATGAGACCCTGACTTCCATCCCCAGGGAAAAAAGTCCCGACCTTCCAGAGAAAGAAGGAAGGAGGGCTCTGTACGGGGGGCTTCCCACTCCCTCTCTTCCACCTCAAGGCCTCTCATACCCTCCCACCATGCCGTCAGCAGACATATGTCCAGCCCAGCCTATGTGTGCCTAACATGTCACAGTCAAGACTCGGTCAACACATGGTGGCCACTGACCCCTGGGCCTGAGGAACTTAGCAATGGAGGAGTCAAGTGAGGGACTCTGGTCTGTGATCCTGGGGAACCCCCTCCTGCTCTGGGTTTCACTGTACTCAGGGGAGACAGGTCTTGTTAACTGTGGAGAATGGGTGCCCTGAGCCCTGGACAGACAGACAGACACACACACACACACACACACACACAGTTTGACAGGAGGCATGGTCAGAGTGGTCCATGCTTCTAGCTGTGGTGATTGGTACAGGGAGAGACATGTGACCCAGACCAGGCCAATGAGGCTCAACCCTGAGACCTTGTTAAATGGGAGGAGACAAACCTCCTCCTCCCTGGGACAGAGCTGGCCTGATGGTGGAGGGGAGGGGCAGAGAGACAGCTGCCTGGTGACACCAGGGAGCCCCTGGATAGAGCTGAACCTGATGCTGGCTAGAGTCCCTGGGTGACGAAAGCAAGGCAGAATTCCCTCCCAGTCGTGGGCATTTGGACCTTGACATGGGGAAAGTCTCACAGCTCCAAGTCTTGCTTCTCAGAGCCTGTCAGGCAGGAGCTTGAGGTTGGGTGAAGGAGGCAGAACTCAAAAGAGCAGGGCTTTTTCTTTTTTCTTTCCCCCCCTCCCATTTTAATGCTGCTGAACAATTCAGATTTAGTACGGTCATAATATCATAAAATCTCTATCTCAGAGTTCTAAAACAGTTTTGATTCTTTTTGAGACAGGGCCTTACTACATAGCCTGGGATGGCTTTGAACTCACCATCCTCCTGCCTCAGCCTCCTGAGTGCTAGAATTACAGGTATGTGCTACCATACCTGGCTCCAAAACATTTTTATACATTTTATAAGGAAACCCAGTACCCATTAGCAGTCTCGCCCTATTCTGTTTCCCCAGCCCTGAGCAATTTCTGTCTCTGTGGATTTTTATCCTGGACACTTGAGGCAAATGAAGTCACAATATATGGTCATTTGTGACTGCTTTATTTCACTTACCAAGGTTTTCAAGGCTCCTCTATGCTGTGGTGTGTCAGCACCTATTCCCTTCTTATGGCTGAAATGATCCATCATCGGGATTGACAGCATTTTGTTTATCTGTCCATCCACCCATGGGCCTCAGCTGTCTCCACCTTTGGGCTACTGTGACTAGCTGGTTATCCTCGTGGCTGGGGCTGGAGAAATGTGGTGACAGGACTGTGAGTCACAGGGCTGGAAAGGGGAATTTGGGAAGCAGACTGGGTTGTGGCCACTGTTGTTAAGTTCTGGTGGGTTTGCCTCCAAACCATGTCTCAAATCTGTCACTTCTCCATCCCTACTGTCACTTCACCATCCCAGGCCATCATTATCTGTTGCCTGGTCAGCAGCAGTGGGATCTCTTTATGTTTTCCTTCTCCTGCTCAGCCTCCCTCCACCTACCCCAGAATCCATTCTCCACTGTGCAGCCTGAGGGACTCCCTTAGAACTTATGTCAAATCAAGGCACCAGTGGCTCACGCCTGTAAACCTAGCTACTCAGGAGGTAGAGATTGGGAGGATCACAGTTGGAGGCCAGCCCTGAGCAAATAGTTCAGGAGACCCTATCTTGAAAAAACCCATCACAAAAAATGGGCTGGTGGAGTGGATCAAGCAATGGAGTGCCTGCCTAGCAAGCAAGGCCCTGAGTTCAAACTCCAGTACCTCCAAAAAAAAAAAAAAATTCAAGGCCTGAAACTTTCCTGCTCATAGCCCTTCTATGGCTCCCTATTGCATCAGGAGCAGGTCTAGACTTCCCCCGAGCCACAAGGCCCTCCTTGTTCTGGCTCTGGCCACTTCTGCAGCTTCCTCACACTCTGTTTCCTCTTTCCACCTTCCTAGCTCCACCACCTGCCCTCCCTCTTTTCCCAGAGTGCACTATGTTCCAGACCTTTGTAGGTCTGGTCCTGGGAGATTTCTTCCCACATCCTCCTGGCCACCCCCTCCTCATCCTTGAAGCCCTTACTCAGCCATTGCCTCTTCCAGGAGGGAAGCCTTTTTTTCCTATTGTGGATCACCTGTTCAGCCAGTGTTGTCCAAGGCACTAGGGATGCAAGTTAAAAAGACAGACAATGACATGCCAGCACTGTTCTGCAGCAGCCAGAAGTGGGGAACACCCTCAGTGTCCCTCAGTGGATGAATGGGTCAACAGAATGCAGAACATCTATATCATAGAATACTACTCAGCCCTAAAAAAGAGTTCTGACCTATGCTACGAATGGGGCAATTTCAAAAGCAGGATGCTGAGAGACAGAAGCCAGATAACAAAAGTCACATACCACATTGATCCCACTGATATGAACTGTCTGACAGATCAAGGAGACAGAAAGCATTTGGTGACTGACAGTGGCTCTCATCGGGGGACAATCCAGGGAAAAGAAAAGCATGATCAACTCCACAGACCTAGGGCTTGACTGGAGAGTAGGCAGAATGTTCAGGAAGTAGATAGAGGTGCTGGTTTCTCAACACTAGACCTATGAACACACGCTTTAAAATGGTTAGATTTGTCGGGCGCCAGTGGCTCACACCTGTAATCCTAGCTACTCAGGAGACAGAGATCAGGAGGATCGAG